CCTACTTCCAATGGCGTTAAATCCCACACTGACCACTTCTTTACTTTTTCCAATTAATCTCACATCAAAGGGATGGCAAACTGAGTGACGCCATTTTTAAAGACTGCACAGATCGAAAAGGGTTATCATTCAAGCAAGACAACCATTCTGCACGTAAGATATGGTACCTAGAATTCTCATCACTGTTCACTTTTTACATTCGACACATTAAGCGTGCCAGTAGTGATATATTGTAACGCATGCACGTTAACAATATACTGTGTCTGGATATAAATTACCAACCTCTATCGAAGTAACAAATAGTGAATTCAAAATGGAGTAGGTGATGTCCTCAAAAATGATCCACTTACATTTTCCGGGAACTCAGTTGAGGACTGTCACAGTCATATATGACGGATCTGTTGGGAAACTCAATCCATCTGTTCTAAGAGCTATGAGACACACTGCTTTCAGTAAACAGTATATGAGTTCTTCATCACCCAAAGCTTCAGTTAGTCAGTTTCGTACTCCTCAAACTATGTATGAGCATATGCACGCAGATATAGTTGGGAAACCGTTTCCCTCTAACATTTCCAACCATCTCATATGTCTGGATAGATTTACTCACTGTTCTGTCACTATTCTATTGCCGAACATTTCAGCCATAGGAGTTGCCAAGGAGCTTGTAAATAACCGGAGATTCAACTTGTGTACCCCTTCAGTCATCACCACTGATACAGGAGTACAACCTAGAAGTTACTTGTTTCAACAGCTCACCGACTTCGACGGAAATAAATACATGCCTGGAGAAACATACCATCCCATTTTCATTGACTTGATGGGACGCTTGCACAAATTACCTAAGCGAGCACTGAAGCTTCTACACACAACAACTGCTTCACTGATCTTACACTGGTCCTGCTTGAAATTAGGGTCACAGGGAAAATAAATATTCTCTGCTACACCTCAGAGTTGGTCCATGGGACAACTTCACGATTACGTGGGGTATCTTTCACTGCAAACAGTATAGTCGCACTATGTGCAGTTATCAAAATACTATATAAGTGAGTAGAAAATGTCACTTCCACTAACGCAGCAATAGCCATTACAAATCTTACCTAAGCCAATCAACTGCACTGAAGTTTCTTTCGGACACAAGGACGTCAAATTACCACTAGAACCAGCTTATAATGGTTTATACAGAGTCTTAAGTAGAAGTGGTAAACTCGTAACTACCTACAGCCTTAACAAAGCAAAGACTGTTAGCATCGACCGAGTATAATCTACATTCATTAGTGATCCTCCTCCTCATCGGGACGTTATGCAGTAAATAAAACTTCCGTAATCAGGCCTGCAAATCTTTGATTAATTCTCATTTGGCATGTTCTCTCCATTCGTTTTAACATTTGTTAGCTACAAACTTTTAATATTCCAGTGAACAAGCACGATAGTCACTAACTATCGCATTATTGTATAACCCTGAACATCCACTTATTGTCATATCTATCCACACTACTTAGTTTTTTTTCTTTTCGAAAGTTCATATTTATATTTTGGTGTTATGGTGGGGAATCATGTTGCCTATTCGACGTAACTTTATTCAGACATTTTTGGAAATATTCTGTGTACCACTACTAAAACTAATTTCATTCCTATGTATTAAGTAATGACAAATGCAACTGTGCTGTTTGTCTTCTAGAACGTATGTATATTCTATTTGTTGGTACATTTAACACTTATCTCATAATTTTTGTCTAATGGTACTGATATATACGGTGATCAATCTGTCTTCTTGCCACTGGTTTCGAATTTGTTGGTTCATTTTTTAATACAACATCCCAATGTATTCTTGGCATTATCCCCTGTTGTTTAGACTATCTGATGCAGGTGGATCAGCAGTGTCTGGGATAATAAGATAAGCGATAGACTTTTGGGAACATTATAAAAATATTGGAATCACATACCAGGGCACGACTGTCTTCCGCCCTTCCTGTCTCTGTCATGTTTTATTGGCGTTTGTCTGTTATGAGAATTTGGTCAATAAGTCTGTCTATACATCTGCGTTCACTTTGAAATTTATTTGAAACAATTACAGTTGCACATACAGGTTCATGAAAAAACGGTGTAACTAGTTAAGAATTCAGATTAAATGGCATGCATGAGTTAGTTACTCCACACTTACTTTCTATTGAAGAAGAATAATTCTGATTGTTGATGAGTGAAGTATGTACTGTGCAGACTGTCTTTCACTTTTTTTGTGAGTCTAACTTCGTATATTTGTATCCAAAATCAGCATTTATTCTCTTCTCGTGATCATATAAGCTAAAACTGTCATAGCAGCATGTCACATTCTATGTTGACCTAGTAAACTATATAAGTGCTGCTCCGAATGTGAGAGTTTAACCACTCAGCTGAACTTGGTTTCAATGTAAGCTAACATATTTAAGATTGACCCTGTAACTAGTTACTTATTTTTTGTTGCTGGAATTTGTGAAAAAAAATTTCTCATTTCCTTCAGTATTTGAGTTTGAGGTTGTCCAAAAGACCAACTAAGAACTCGTACTGTTGGCTACCCACGTGACAGAGATTAGCTCAGCCATCACCATGTTACGTAACAGTTGTTACGAAAACTTTGCGTTTCATATGACTACTTAATGATTGGATCTAGGAAGTAGAATTATATTCAACGAAACTACGAAGATTTTGAAACAAATGTTATCTTTTTTAAACAGGATAGAGAACAACTTTTAACAAAAAGTATTATAAGTTAAATTCATAAAATATTACTTACAGATCCCTAGACCATTCATTGAAGTATGATGTATTAAAGGAAAACTATTTGTATAAGTAGTGTTTAATAACACAAAACAAATTTGTGTCAAAGAGGATATGAATCCTGGAATACTTTCACTGTAGTGCTAGTTTTGTTTGCTATAATAAAGCACAGACACTTTATACATGTATTAAATGATGTGGACAACCTCTGAATAAATTATTAGACTTTAGTCATTAAAATAGTGGACAGCCACTGATGAATATCTAAGGAGTTTCATATGCTAAGCAATAGCTGTGTGAATATCACAAGGGACGTAACTATTGATAGATTGAGTCACTAGCGTATTAAGAAAGACCTGTTATCGAATACTTGAGTTAAACTATTGAAAAATGTCTCAAAATATCAGGATAATCGAAAAGACTGCATGAACAAGCAAAGGCAGGAGAAGAAATAAGCGTCCGTGCATAATGGAGAAAGAGAATGTTATTTAAGATTGCTTGTATTCATCGAAAAATATTTTCTAATTAGTTTCATTTGTAGCTTCACTGACCATCTTGTTGCAAGTAGAAGTAAGATTTTCCTTTCTGACGTAAGTGATCTTTTAGGACACTTATGTTCAGTGTGTTCAACAGATACTCTTGCAGGCATAAATGAATATAAGATAAATTTGGATGATTAAAATATATAAAAAACGAAAAGCACTTGAAAACCTTGTGCATATTCGTGTAGTAAGCAATCAGCTATACCTTATTGTATAAAGGTTAATGTGACTACCTGGCTGCCCAAACCTCGGTAGATAGATTAGTGTCAGCGATTTGTAATTACTGCTTTAAAATACTTAAACGAATCAAATATTTTCTATGAAATATGCTGAGGTCACTAAAGGTAACATAATCCAAAATCGGCTAACATTAGCAACTAGCTGACCTGTTTCGTCGTGGTAATTTAAAATCTTAGCTGAAGGTAATTCTTAAGAGTGACTATGATGGTTGACCATAGAATTTAAATAGTTTTACGAGACTAATGAACAAATTTGGTGACTTTCATGTGGATTTTTAGTTTTTTAGAGGTATCTTTGCAATTACTGAGTCGTTGGCTCACGTTTTTCCTCTTTCTCCTTCCAGATTTTCGTCGTCTCCATTAAACTTACACTGCTCCACGTGCCTCTTTGCAGCAATGTACCTACCTACCTATAGACTAGACGAAAACTTATCAACAACTGGTCGTTACATTTTCGTATCGGAGGTGGGGTGAGGCTCGCTCATGGTTAGACGGACGTGAGCCCAACAGCAGCCATCAACTGGAATGTAACTCCCATCAGCTTCACATACTATATATAGCCTCTAATTCACTCAGGTACAACCAGACACTGAGGACAGTGCCTCTTAAGAAGGGAAAGTAGTGCAACGTATTCGAAATCTTACTCATTCACCTTCCACTTTCAATTTCTAGACTGCCTCACCTCTTCGTTGTCAAGCTCTACCATTTGTCAGTTATCTTTTATTATTAAGTGTAAGTACATCACGTTTACTTGCTGAATTGTCGACTCACCTTAATCTCTTCCGCTTTTCCCTTCCAGATCCTCATGGCCACCGCTAAACTTACACTGCTCTACACGCCCCTTGCAGCAACGTACTTACCTACCTACAGGCTAGACAAAACCTATAAACGGCTTATTGTTATATGTTCGTTTTTTAGCATAAATTCTTCATACAAAGATTGTTTCGAAAAGTGTAATGTTCAATTGTAAAACAAAAAAATTGACCAGTAAACAGAAATTTTAGTGCAACCGATTAAAAATCAATTATAAAATAAGACAGATGAGGCTAAAATTTATTCCCAGGTGGTAACGTGGTTATTATGAGATATAGCGTTCTATGAGCAAACTCGCATATTTTATATATATATATATATATATATATATATATATATATATATATATGTATCATCTATTTATATGGTTTCTAAAACGATCTCCATCACTGAGCCATGCTTAATACCGCTTATTCATGTGTAAAGTATTGGTCACCCTTTCACCTTCTAGTTAAGATGTGAGTACATTTATTTATGAAGAATGATGCTCATAAATCAAAGTTGAATGAGTCTTCAAATTTCGGCAGGAAGAATTTACAATTTCAGTTATTACTTCAAATTATATCCCTAAAAAACACAGAGGATACGTATTTTCACACAGAAAACTTATAATACCTGGAGATAACTTTTAGTCTCACCAATTAAGACTTGTTCAAAATCGAATCGTATATTATTACTGAATGTAAAACAGAATGTTTGTTCAGCGATGTCTTTTGACAAATTGGTCATAAGACATAAATAGGTAGAAGTGAAGGAATTTATTTTAGAGTTACAAAGTATTCTGTAATGTTATACTTCCATGAACAACATTACTAAATGATTCATTCAAACTGATAAAAAAAGAACTACAAATCAAAGTCTAAGATAAGAGAGTACAACCATTTTCCTGTCGATCCAATGTATCTGTAACCTGACGAATTAGAACTTCCAAGTCACCAGCTTTAAAAAAAGAATGAAAAAAAATTTAATAAACCAAGAATATCTGAAGTAAAAAACCCAAAAGTTGAAATTCTCAACTATTCGAAGACATCCATAATAGATTATTAATATTTTTACTCTTGGGTTCCTAGTGGAACATAAGCCTTCAGTACAACGCCTCCATTCCACTCTCTTCTCTACAGTCTTTTCAACCTGGCACCACAAATGCCCACAACCTCTCATTTATTCCTCACATGATATATATCCTCAATGTCACCCTCAACTCAGACGCCAAACTCATCGTTTCCCCTTTGCATTCCACTCAACGGCCTTGTCTGGAGCACGATGTCCCCAGTCAGCCTTCTCAGTCTATGCCCAATCCAGTCCATCTCCACTTTCTTCTTCTCCAGATTTGTTGGGTGACAGGTTGTTGGTTGGTTTGTTGCCACAGTGAGTTCCTTGTCGCTTATTCTGATTATTCTGGCCATCTGATTGATCTTCAGTAGGGAGCCAGCCTAGGTGGCAACTGTTGATGAATGTCTGTAGTTTGTTGGGAATGTTTTTTGTGACACACCCAGATTCTGAACCATACAGAAGCACTGACTTGACTGGTATTGGTGTTGAAAATCCGGATCTTGTTATTTGTGCTGAACTCAGTAGATCTCCACATTGATTTCTGATTAGTGAAAGCCTATCTTGCTGTCTTTCCGATCCTGATGTTGACATTCTCGTGTGTGCCACTGCCACGCCTGTGGTTGGAATGATGCTACCCTGCCCTGCATAGGTAGGTAGGTAGGTGGGTAGGTAGGTAGGTAGGTAGGTAGGTAGACAGGTAGGTAGGTAGGTAGGTAGGTAGGTAGGTGGGTAGGTAGGTGAAAGAGACTACTTACTTTAGGTTTCACCCATTGATGGTGATTGGCGCTTGCTGTTGATGCTGTTGTTGGTTGACTATCTTCATCACCTCCCTCTTCTCCACATTCACTTGAAGTCCCGTTTTCGCTGCCCTACTTCTTCTGCCAACTTGTTAGTTTTCGCCGATACATCTCCGAGTTGGTGTGACAATAAACATAAATCATCGGTTAAATGCAAATCTTCCAGTGTCTTCTCACCCATCAAACAGCCTATGCCCATCTTCTCGCTCCTCACGGTTCGCTGCATGATCCAGTCAGTCGACCACAATCAGGAAGATGATTGGTGACAGTAGGCAGCAACCTCGTCTTACTCCTGTCTTCACTGCAAAGGCATCACTGAGCTTTCCATTGTGGATCACTTGGCATGTGACGTCTTCATATAACTGTTGAATGAGGTTGATGTAGATTTGTGGCACTCCGTAGTGTTGAGGCAGCAGCTGTCAAATTACTTGTCAGTCGACGCTGTCGAAAGCCTTTTCAAAGTCGATAAAGTTGAGGTAGAGGATTGACTGCCGTTCTATGCTCTGTTTCATGATGATGCGGAGTGTAGCGCTGCAATTTGATCCGCACATGGTTTGTTCTTCCTGAAAACAGCCAGCCTGTTCCGGTCGTAATTTTGAATCCAGCGCATGCTTTAGTCTCTCCAAGATGATGCGGATAATATTTTGCTTAGGATGGACAGCAGCATGATTCCGCGCCACTTCCTGCAAAGGCTTATGTCTTCTTTCTTCGGGATTTTGACAAGGTAGCCTTTCTTCCAATCGCAAGGTACCTTTTCTTCCTCCCAAACCTTCTGCAGTAGTGGTGTGACCATATCCACTATTGTCCCTGCATCTGCTCTCAGTGCTTCTGGCGGAATTCCATCTGGTCCTGTTGCCTATCCGGATTTCAGCAGTTTTATGGCATTCAGGACTTCTGCTTTTGTTGGAGGGCCTGTGCTCACTGATAGCTCTGTCGTTGCTGATGACATTTCTGGACGAGTTGCAGGCGGTAGTCGATTCAAAAGTTTTTTTTAAGTGGTCAGCCCATTGTTCCTTTTGTTCCTCCTCTTTGGTAACTAGTGTAGAGCAAAACACGTCAATAGAATAATGTAGCTTACCGAAGGTGAAAGTGCTAAACTAGATGAATGATTTCCACCATTGTTCCATCATGAATAACTGCTGATCTACGCTATTTCAGATTTCCAGACTTTCAGGATCTGAAAACACTAAGTGACATTGTTTTTTTCCACATTTCTCAAAGAAAAACACAGCCATATAAACATAGAAATGAATTAGATACCAAGAAAATCCTAATCCAGTAGGTGTGAACAAACGAATAACATTACGTATAGTGATTCAAGTAACCACATTACGAAAAAGTTTTTGATGGGAAGTCAATAAAAGCTAAAATATGACAGTCAGCCAGTTTAATACCACTGTAACGCATTCAACATCTTACTTATTCACGTTCTACTTTCAATTTCTAGACTGCCTCACCTCTTCATTGTCAATGCTCCACCATTTGTTAGTTACCTTTTATTCTTATTCTTATTATTAAATGTAAGTATATCTTATGTACTTGCTGAGTCGTCGGCTCACGTTTTTTCTCTTCTTCTGTTCCCTTCCAAATTCTCATGATTAGCACTAAACTCACACTGTTCTACGCGCCAATTTGCAACAACGTACCTACCTACAGGTTAGACGAAAACCTATCAACAGCTGGTCATTACACCTTAAAATGAATTTTTAACACATGTGAAATAAAACTAAAGGTAACCATGATTTTTTAAATGGTTACTTACAATATGAAACGCATCGAAATTTAAATAACAAATATGTTGATGGAAACAGCTTGTTTCTGACATACCAAACAACTTAAAATGATTTGTTACTCTGGATTTAAGCGTTTTCACTGATTAAGCAACTTCCACACTTTCCAAAAAATTGTTTTTCATTTTTTTAAAATGAAATTTTGTCGATGAAAACAAAGACTGGGGATTAGAGTAATACGATTAATTACAAATCGAGTCAAATGGTAAACTACTCAGAAATTTTGAGCATATTCATGCAGTAAGGTATAAGAAACGATGGTGATACTATCTGACTGCCTAAAACAAGAAACCTCAAGTCCATATGCTTCATTACACAGTGTTCGATTGTGTGATCTGTGTAATCTTAAAATTTCTATCAACAGAAATTCATGACTTTGGCTCAAATGGAGATATCCATTCAACAAGTTCAATTCCTCAGCAGTACTATCTGAAGTGTTGACATTTTTCGACAGTATAAATATGCTGATTACAAAAAACTATTGTGGACAAAGAAATACACAGAGCTAACAAAACTGTTTAAGATAACCATAGTTTAGTAGAATACGCCGAACTTAGTGGAACGGGCGTAGTTAGAGATGTTGAAATTAAAACTAAAAGTGTGTCTTCAAGTGACTGACAGGATGACCTATACTACACCTATACCTATACCTATATACTAACCTACAATGCTCCAATGTTGATCACTTCTAAAAATTACTTCACCACATATAATTAACAATATATAACTCAGGAATTAACTTGACTGAAAAGCATCTTTTCTCAAATTATAGGTTTTTCTTTGTTTTTCTTCTAAATGTCTATTCACCGTACAATGTGAATATCTGTAGTATGCATATAATAAGTATTCATTGCTCAAATTTCTTCAAGGTAACAAATTTTAACTTGGTTTGTGTATCTTTACATGAAGTCTAAATGTAAGCAGTTCCATTTCAGTAATCTGATACAACAATGAAATCCACAGCTTAGCAAAATTAAATTAATCATTCAGAGTTTAGATTAACTCAATATTGATAACATGGCACCAGTGATTAACTTAAGTATTTCACACTTCATAACATCCAGTAGTAAGAAGTAGCCATAAAGCTGTAAATGACTTTTCTGACTAGATGAAAGCTTGATGTTTCGTTTGCTAAATTAACTCAAATGTGAAATTTTGTAGTACTTGATACTTTCTTCATTCACTGTTATGAATACAAGTTTGAAAAAAAATGCTGAGAAATACAAATTAACAGAATAGAACAAAGTCGAAATGATGTATTTATATCATTAAGGAAGTTTTAATAAACTTCTGGTAAGTCTTATATAAATGTAAGATTTGGCCACTGTGGTAGAATTTAATTCCAACATCTGGTTTTTATAATCCTGTCACCGCTTATTTTTTGTTCCTATTGGTGTTAAAGTTTTCTATATCTTTGGTATAGATATTGCATCATTCCTATTACAGTTGTGGGTTTTGGGGTTGATTCGACGAAGAAAGATTCTAATTATATTGGACTTAGGTAGAGTGGTTTTATCCCATCCTATTGTGTGGTTGTGTATTAATCCATGCATTGCAATAGCCGAGTTATTTTGAAAATTATTGATCTTATTGGAATCTGTCATTCTATATTTAACTAAATTCTTATGTTTCGATAATCTAACGGACCCTCAGTTGCGTATCTTGATTTATGTACTTGACCTCACAGATATTGCATGGAATTTAGTAGATTATATTATTTTGCTTAATTCGATCTAGGTAGGATTCTATACAAAACTGGAATTAGAGTGGCATTTAAGTCTAAAAATGCACTCAAACATAAGCTTTATCGACTAGCTTAAGGATCTGATAGGACCAATTAAGCAAAATAATTTGATCTATCAAATAACATGCAACGACAGAGAGGTTAAGTACGTAGGTCAAACTACCCGGTCGGGGGCAGTTAGAATAAATGAACATTAGAATTTAGCTAAATATAGAATGATAGACAAGAATAAGATCAATAATGTAGAAAATATGTTGGCTACTGCAATGCATGCGAAAAAAGTATAATAAAATGGCAGTTAACCCTCTACCTCAACTTTATCGACTTTGAAAAGGCTTTCGACAGCGTCGACTGACAAGTAATTTGACAGCTGCTGCCTCAACACTACGGAGTGCCACAAATCTACATCAACCTCATTCAACAGTTATATGAAGACGTCACATGCCAAGTGATCCACAATGGAAAGCTCAGTGATGCCTTTGCAGTGAAGACAGGAGTAAGACGAGGTTGCTGCCTACTGTCACCAATCATCTTCCTGATTGTGGTCGACTGACTGGATCATGCAGCGAACCGTGAGGAGCGAGAAGATGGGCATAGGCTGTTTGATGGGTGAGAAGACACTGGAAGATTTGCATTTAACCGATGATTTATGTTTATTGTCACACCAACTCGGAGATGTATCGGCGAAAACTAACAAGTTGGCAGAAGAAGTAGGGCAGCAGAAACGGGAATTCAAGTGAATGTGGAGAAGAGGGAGGTGATGAAGATAGTCAACCAACAACAGCATCAACAGCAAGCGCCAATCACCATCAATGGGTGAAACCTAAAGTAAGTAGTCTCTTTCACCTACCTACCTACCTACCTACCTATGCAGGGCAGGGTAGCATCATTCCAACCACAGGCGTGGCAGTGGCACACACGAGAATGTCAACATCAGGATCGGAAAGACAGCAAGATAGGCTTTCACTAATCAGAAATCAATGTGGAGATCTACTGAGTTCAGCACAAATAACAAGATCCGGATTTTCAACACCAATACCAGTCAAGTCAGTGCTTCTGTATGGTTCAGAATCTGGGTGTGTCACAAAAAACATTCCCAACAAACTACAGACATTCATCAACAGTTGCCACCTAGGCTGGCTCCCTACTGAAGATCAATCAGATGGCCAGAATAATCAGAATAAGCGACAAGGAACTCACTGTGGCAACAAACCAACCAACAACCTATCACCCAACAAATCTGGAGAAGAAGAAAGTGGAGATGGACTGGATTGGGCATAGACTGAGAAGGCTGACTGGGGACATCGTGCTCCAGACAAGGCCGTTGAGTGGAATGCAAAGGGGAAACGATGAGTTTGGCGTCTGAGTTGAGGGTGACATTGAGGATATATATCATGTGAGGAATAAATGAGAGGTTGTGGGCATTTGTGGTGCCAGGTTGAAAAGACTGTAGAGAAGAGAGTGGAATGGAGGCGTTGTACTGAAGGCTTATGTTCCACTAGGAACCCAAGAGAAAGATAATGAATAATAATAATAATACTGGAATGAATACACCAACACTCAGCTAAACAGTGGGATGGGTGGGATGAAACGACTGCACTTAAGTCAAATATAATTAGATGGAGACAGAGAGATTGAATACTGAATCTTTGTTCATCAAGTCTACATCTAGCCAAGATATGTAATAAAAATGACGCATCTCAGCTGAATACAACGGATTAAACACTGAATGATTTAAAAATGCATAAGATAAATGGAAGACAGTAATAAAGCTTTAATTTGTTTCAAAAAGGGATTACAAGCTTGTAGAATAGGTAAAGCAGTATTATGCAAGTGTTGGATGACAAACAGGAAACTCTGAAGGTGATTACTGAAAAGATAGCTTTGACAAGCAACTACATTTCGTCACTTTTAACTGTCACTTCTGCTTGAATATGCCGTAGAAACGAGTGGTCACCGCATCAAATTTCTAAATGGAGAATGGCATTCGGATATGACAAAAACGTACAGATAAAATCAGGCATAAAAATACATCAGTTCAAGTTGTTACACTTCACAGTATTGTGAAAAGGGCAAGTGAATGGAATAGGATTCATATCAAAGTAGACAAAGGTGTATGGAACGAGAGAGAATATGAAATGAAGGCTAGTCAAAACGCTTAGGTTCTAGAGCCAATACATCTGTGCCATTGTGACCATTTTTCATTCATATCACTAAGAGTCCCCAACTACTGATTCATATCGTCTTGCGGACTCCAGACAGGAAGTTTACACGATTCGTAGCAACTGAAAGAAACAATATAGATGGGTACGACTTTCTAGTCTGGCCATTCCGAATCTACTTCCGACCTAGTTCAACTTCTGATACCAATCCACATCAAAGTAGGTGGTGAGTTGGCATGCGGAACACATGTCCTAGCAACCGCAGTCACTGAAGGTTCACAACTTCATTGGGTGACTTGCCTAGTCACATGATAGAGACTCCACCATATGAGAGTAGTGCTACTAAGACACCTGTGGTCGAAAACGCGAATTCTCTTCAGGTCCATTTTTAACGGCCATATCTCACAGCTGTATAATAGAACAGAATGATTTGCAGAGTAGCTTACTCATCCTTTCATGGGTTTTCAGATATCTCACGAGCACCAAAGATGATGCAAGTTGGCAAAATGCCAAACAGGTTTTCTGTATCCTAACTGAGATCTCATCAGCAGCCAACTAGTTCCGACCGATGCAACCCCTCAAGTGACTAAAGTAGTCGACGGATTCCATCATTTCACTTCCTATCTATCCTTAAACTGGGAGTAACTGCAGACCATACTTGAGGCATCATATGATGCTTACTGATTATGTTAGGTGTTCATATTAAGATTGTTTTAAAGGGAGTAAAGCTAGACAGTGTGATGTCAGTTTACTAGAAAGAGGTAAAACAGACATTGTCTGGTAAAATGAGGTTTATTAGTACGATGAGTTTGAATGTTGGAGTTATGCTCTGTTTATCATTTTAATATTCTAAACACTTAGAGTACACTTTTTATAACACCCACAAATAATTAATTTTTCAGTTTTCGAAAAACATTAAAAATGGTATATCAAGATATTGAAGATTAAAACTAACCGGGATCTAATGAAATTCCAACAGGTCGTCTAATATTCTCCGAAGTTTCAATGAACGGGATCGGTGCAAAACTCACAGAGAGTCGTTTAGAATTTGGTATTTTGTGATCATTTGGGCATGAAGTTGGGAATTTTTTGTTTTCAGGAAACAATTTAAAAGTAGTATTAGAGTTGTTATGTCCTTGTATAACTGTTTTATCATCTACAACTTCATCAACAACAAGATCACAACTTCTGTCTTGATGAATTAGAGAATCTGATATCTTATCACTAACTTCATCAGGACATAATGAACAGTCTGTCAACTGAGAGAAAGTTTTAGCAGTTGCTGCTTTAATAGCCAATCGTTTAGATTCTTGACAAGCTAATTTCATCTTCTGGTCAGCTTGAACAAGTCGATATTCTGTTTCATGTAGTAATTTTTCTGTATTGTATAATTTAGTATTCAATTCTGAGACTTGACTAGTCAGAGTTCGATTTAGCTCTTTATATGAATTTGATTCTTTGAAAAATTCATTCTCCAACTAAAAATGTTTTCGTTAAAAAGTATACAGTTAATAATATCTAACAAGATATAAGAGGGAATTATTTAACTTTAATGGAGAAAGGAGCAAGGTTGATGCAGTCATTTGAACTAAAGTCACTGGAATAAAACACACTAAGCATAGGATGGAAAGATTTATTACTTGTCCTCAAAGGAGTTTAATATGAGACCATTTACTCACTTGGTTCATAAAAGGCGAAGTGAAAGTGCTGAAGATTTCCTTCCCAGAGCATCTAGTAAACAGGTATGCCTAGCCACTGTCTGCCTGGTCACATAGTGTTGGCCGAAGTAGGTAGATTCAGACTGGAAGAAGACCCAAGGCGGCCAGACTAATACATGGCGTCAATGTGTGAAGTCTTTGATTGTTAGTTTGAGCCATGTCAAGCGATGCAAACCAGCCAGTTTGGGTCCACGAGACAGGAGAAACCAGTGGTTGGTGACTGACTTCAGGCGATATGGCTCAGAACGGATGTCAGTGGCGCAGATGTATACACACATTATCTTAATCTTAACGCTATACCGAATCTCACCATTTTCTCATTCTTCCTGTCTCTCTTTTAGTACTTTACATTGCTTTTGACTGAAGTTCCTTATCTTCATCTTCCACTTCGCTGCCTTTTTACTTGATGTACTGATGTGAAGTGTGGCAACTCGGACCGTTACGCAGTAATGCCTAGTCCTATGTTGAATTGAATGGATGGATGGATCTAGTAGACACAAGGCATCATATAGATGCGAATAAAGCTTTCAATGTTATACATCACGTCCCAAAAGCATTACCACGTGTAACTCACCAACGCCTACTCAATATAACTTAGGCTATCGCTATAGGATTGATTAAACCTAAACTGTTCTTTCAGAAAAATTCGTGTATAGTAAACTAAAGGTCACACTCCTGTCTTCTTTTTACTTCAACTGTCTTTTCGTTCGCTACCAACTTATTTATCCGCAGATATATCATCTTAATAGTGACAAGTGTGAAAGAAAATAAGTCAATATCCTCACAGTCTTATTTCATTTTGAAAATGCTTGATTTTACGCTGTACAAAACGTATTTTATAACTGTAGAATCTGACGAGAATTTATTGAAAAGAATATTCTTCTTTCAGAGTGTTGGTTTGTTAAGATATTGTCTTTATAAAATGTCAATTGTTTAGGATACTGTAGTTATTTAAAGATGGCTAACAAAATGTACATTGGAAGATATATCATGAAACAAGACATGACTTAGTACTTTAATAGATAAAGCAAGAAACAATCCAGAGAATAATTCCTCTCAGTGATTTCCTCCCGCGACTTTAGAGTGATAAATTTAAGTATATTACTATACAATAGTCTGTATAAGGAATAAATAACCTTATGGTTGAGATAGTTACCATTATGGAGAGATGATGATGAGCGAATTCAACTAAAAACAACAGGTCATAATAAATTTTGAGCTGATTTTAATCGAAATGAAAACAGAATGGATAATCTAGAAGTAGTATTCATTACCAACTGACACCAGTTGGGGAACCATTAAAAACCTGGGAGCACTTTTATGCGACTCCTCAGAAGTACGAACCCACGATTTGGGTACAGATAGAACTCAGGACCTTCAGGATAACCAAACAGGGAGAGAGAGAGATGTTGTTATATGGAGGTGAGATGGATCCCAGCAACATTCATTTATATCAGTTCTTACTGCTATCTTAGATGAAACCTTAGTTATGCCTTTCATTCATGGACTTATACCTGTCAATTCCTCACAGCGAATTGCTTCATTAATTCAGTAAATTATTGATTACAAGAGGAATATTATAAATAGAGTGAACCGTCAGATTGGTATGTGTGTGAATGCAACATCATCAAGTGAAAGTATCTAAAAAAATCTTTGAATTAGTTTTACAAATGCTAATTTGATTTGAATGCAGTAATCAGTAGGATGATATGGAAATATTTTGACAATGGAAGTGAATATTAAGAGGGATTTGAAGCAAAAAGAATTTCACAAGTTTTTTTGACGAGTTCAATGAGCAACAGCATGAAAATATCAATAAAAGACAACTGAGCAAAGAAACTTTTCTTATCGACGAGTCATTTTCAAATGATGTACAACCGTAATTATAGTTACATTAAAATATGTATGCAGCAATAGCTAATGGGTCGTTAATATAAAGTCACCATAAATGGTCAATTTAGTCAACATGATAACGACTAGAAGGTAAACTCAAGGTCATCAAAAACTGCTGATAAGACTACTTCAAATAAACAAAGAAATGACTACTAGAGATTGAATGCATCTTTTTTGAACACAAAGAGCATCCTTGTAATGCTGGATCGCCAAAGCTTCTGATGCATTGAGCTGGTGAATACGAACTCCTTTCAAAATGTTTGACTTCATTTTATAAATGAGGTTAAAAGAAGACTGTCGTGGAGCACAGTGACCAGAGATAACCAAATGGTCAAAAATCGAGCTGCAGATAGCTTTACAATGTCGTTTAAACACTAAATTAGTATAGTGTTCGGAGAAGTGTTTGGGTAGAACACACTTCGTGTGACTGATGGCAATATTTCAGTGGTTGAAAGATAACACTGAAATAACTAATTCTGAAGTTTGTGGAGAACATATTGATTTTAAAAACGTTTTCATCGCAAATCGGTGTTAATCAGAGAGCCATCGAAAACCTGGAATCACTCGACAACTGTTCCATCCTAGTTTAAGAATATTCGTTAGTGTGCACCTATGATCTAGTGTCGGATCAACTCCAAATCCCTCAGTTCTGACGGCGTACACGTTACCACTCAATCACTAGGTCGTAATTCAGTAGTTTACGTTTCCCAGTTGCTGTCGTTTCATGATGTGGGACCATCGTTAAATGGTAATGACAAGTATTTGTTCTGATGCCCACCAGTTCGAGATGGACTTCTCAAAGTTGTAATGGAAAGCCATGACCTGTGGAACCAATCATTTCCAATGTCAGCAAGGATACTCACCATAATCAAGTTATATGAATCAACAGAAGTTGAAAAATGTAGGCACATGAATACCGACTGAGTGGTTGAATGGTAACCTTTTCGTTGTGACATCTGATGGCCCTGAGTTCGATCTCACATTGGGTTGTGGGGTGAACAATGCTGAAAAGTTTCCAAACACTACTAACCAGCCTATTCAGTGCTTCTAGGTCTTAAATGTTTCTCTGACTGACTTCAATCCAGATACCTTTGGAAACATTGAAAAACAGATTCACTTACTTGTGCATATTTTTGTTTTTCTTGCTCCACTTGTTGAAGGAGTGACTGTTTCTCCTTATTCAACAATTCAATATTTTGTTTTACATCATCCAACTCCTTACTCTGTGTATTGAACTGTTCAGTTATTGTTTTCAACTGATATTTGAATTCATTACATTCAGAGATACTTTTAGTTTGACTACAATTCTGTTCTATTAACTACAAAGAAATGTATAGAAATATAGGAGTTAAAAATTTCCTTATAGATACTGAGAAAAAAGTATTCAGAATATAGATCTGCTTTACAGATATCACAATAAAGATTATCTTACTGAAAATTTCTGTTTTGTATAGAGATTTATTTACACATTTTGAGGAGATACACTTTACCAAGGGAAAAAAAGGAAAAAATTATTTAACTTCATGATGCAAACTCAGTTAAAAAAAAAACAAAAGTATTACTTCTATGAATTGGTAATCAGGTAGCTGACTGACAAAATGAATGTAGAACTTTGCATATAGCTGCATCGATTCAAGTTGCCACACTTCACAGTAATACACAAAGAACAGGTGGATAGAAAAGGGGTGATATCAAAGTGGTGTAGGAGTATAAGCAATATTCAAGCTTCAGAAGATGTCAAGGAATGAATACATCTGCACCATTATGACCAATTTTCAGTCATATCACTAAGAGTTCTCAATCAATGATTGATTTTGTCTCGGGGACCCCAGCCAGGTAGTTTATATCCTCTCACAAGGATCTGACCAACGGTAAGATGCTTCATCAACTGGTGCCCGAACTTGATCTGACTACTTTGAACCCTTTTCCAACCTAATTCAACTTCCCCTAGCATAGCACATCGTTAGGCAGTGGTTGGGCATGCACCGTACATATTCAAGTGATCTCAGTCAACTAAGGTTCACAGCCTCATCAATCGATTGGGCTTTCTTGCATAGTGCCCTTCACCTGACGTTATCATTGTTCACATAGTGAATCTATCAAACGCGAGCTACGCTACGAGGATGCATATGTAGCTTTGCCAGACTCTGATTGTCATTACTTGATTAATTTTACTAAGTAGTGGAAAACTGTAAAGCATTATGCTTCGGTATTAGAAACTAGGAGTCAGCCGGCATGAACCACGGTTTCATACGTACGTGTACTTAACCTTCAAGTTGATACTCAACCATCTGATTTCATCTTTAGACGCGACTTTTATTCTCTTGTGCTCCATATTTTTTCAGATTATTTCCCCCTCAATAGCTTGTTAAGGAGTATCTTTCCTACTTTAGAGACACATTATCATTCTGTTCTCAAGCTTTATGGCAATGATATAACTTCAATTTATTATCCCATGAATCGATAGTTATCAGCTTGTAATAGATTTAAATGTAAATTCACAGCTTTATTGAATGATATCACCACCAAGAACAATTTGATTCACTGAACTGTTCGCGTTTTTCTTGACGGATTGATCTTAAGACGCCGTTATATCTGACATTGAAGGGTAACTTATGTAAGGATTAACAGTACATAGAAATGCATAAAAGTACTGCATAAAATAGATTCAAACATTTCATTGTTGTATCTGGAGGTTTGTGAAGATTTATTAATTCTTTTTAAGTTGGAACTCATCATGGACTGACATCAGTTGGAGGAAAATTGGAAATATGGGAGCACCTGAGAGCCGTATCGTTCGACTTGTATGGGACTCTTCAGCAGTGCACACCCACGACCGCACACCACCAGGGATCGAACTCAGGGCCTTCAGGTTCCGCCTCCAGCAGGTTACCATTGATCCACTCGGTCGGAATTTAACGGTCCCTATTTCTAACTTCTGTCAGTTCATGATATAGTGCGACCTACATCCAATGTCATCGTTGTATAACTGTCCTCATGTTCGACTTGATTAACTTCACTGGTCATGACCTCTCGTTGGAACTTCGGGAACCACTTCCTGAACCTAATCACTAATGAGTGCTACATTAATTCTATTTGGAGGTTTATGCCTACGAATAAAAGCATTTTTCTGTCTACTTATTAGTGCTACAAGGAAAATACCAATAGCCAATCAACTTCCAAAATTTCCTATTGAAAACTATTCCGCTAAGGTAACATATTTCTTTAAGCTTATAGTTACCAAGGTATTCAAAGATTTACATTATTGCACATAAATAGATTTTTAAACATTTATAGCATTGCGCAATTTGAACGCAGTTAGATAACACAGTATCTGTATTTCTATAAACTAGAAGGGAATAATGAGAAAAATGTCGGTGGAATTCTAAATACCAACAGTTCATTTCCGGGGTGTGGCTACTTTCCAGTTTTATTGGTCCCTACTTTTCTGCATTCGTTATACAACTTCATGAAATAATTTCCTACTAACACAGCTCAGATTAAGAAATAAACGAATGAGGATCATTTAGTTCATTATCTTGACGACAGAATTTATATCAAATATGAAGAAATAATAACAAGCATGTAGGGAGAGTAGTTCAGGTAAATAGCATACAGCCCTAACAACTTATAAGACAATATATTATCTCATCCTCCTTGGCAGATCACAAGAATACCGTCGAAGCATATGACAGTCTAGGTGCCCCGGTCAAAGTAGTAATGTATATTCTCCTTGATATAAGGATTGTAAACATTTTAAAGAAAACGTTGAGAATCGAACATATTTACAGTTACCTCATTTATACTTTGCCAACATATAGGTTACGGACTAGATTTTATGGTTACTGCAATTTTGGCTAAGCTAATCCGTATTTAATGATTATAATGTTTTTCAACAACAGAGTTTTCGGTTAATAATGTTGTTTGTCCATTTTACTGGCATAAACCGCAAATTTTGCATAGCTTTTGGATGCTGTTTTGTCCATGACTTTAAAATAACCTACATGGCTGTTTTCACATCATTGTTAGTTTTTCTTCCCTCTACTCTCATTGGTTGTTAAATATTTTAACCTATATGTGAATTTAGTGTTGTCAAGGTCATTTGGAAATGTATATATTCAGCATCGCTGTGAACTATATTGACAATTGTTGGGACAGTAAAAAGCTCTCTGTCAACGGTTTCTTCCTGTCTTCAAACGTTGGTAATATTGTTGCGTTAGAGTCGATTCGTTTGTACGTTAGGTTCGGATCGCTCGTGAAGTGTTAGGTTGTACCACTGGTCATAGCGCTTACATTTCTTCAGTTGACAGGTTGTCATTCAATTATTAATTGAATATAAACAATAAAATCGGCACTAAGGAGTGACGGTTCCAGTACCACACCTTACATCAAGATAGGAGGTAAAAATATGAAAGACAAGAGAACTAATCTGATTGAAAGTTATAAGGAACTACATCCAAGGGAAAGAAGAAACAGAACAAATAACGAAATATAAAAAGATAGTTAAAAAGAATTCAAAGCATAGACGTAGTTTCCAAATCGCCCGTTTTTATCTTTTCATAAAACAACTCCAAGCTGAATGTCTGCTTATTTCCACACGATTCAAACCAACATTCGGAGACTTAGGAGTAATGCCATGATCTGATTATCTTTATCTGTTTACAAATCTATTTATGCTCTGGATAACATATTACGTTGAAGGTGGATGGTAAATAGACATCTCTTAACTAGCTAATACTGTTGAGGTTCACAACTTCATTAACCAACTGACCACTTCTCTCTTAGACTGTGTCTGACTTCTGAGTTACTGTCGTCAGTTTCCACTGACATTTGAAAAATGCTACAGAGGTGAAAGTGGTCGAAAACCTGTAGCCTCCTAACATCCTCAATCTTTAATGACCATGTTCCACAGCCACATAGTAGGACACAGCAGACTGATATCTAGTACATTAGACTCTCGTCATGTGATAGAATATCTCTTCGATGTCACAGATGATGTGAATTAGTGAAATTCAATTGAAGTTTTTGTATTTGTGTAGAGATTTCGTCAGCCATTGACCCATCAGGTCTGATTTCACTTCTCAAGTAAGTGAAGTTATCAGCTTATGAAAGCATTTCACTACCTATCAATACCAACTAGTATTGAAGCAATACTTCGCTTTTGAATGATGAGAAATGCATTTTGAACATTCTCAGGGTCAGAAGAGTCTATACCTTATGAACTTCGTTGTTTAACAAATTTGTATAATCTATATATTTTAATTCAGTTATGGAATCACCCACAAAGAAGTCAATCCTTTTAATGTTAGATGAAGGGAGAAAGATTCCTGTGATAAAGTTTAAGAAAAATGGAGATTGAATTTCTTAGCCAGACACCAGCTTATATGAAAGTGTCACTCATAAGCGCACCACAGATTCTAACAGCACCAGGAATGTTCGAGTATGGAATCTTTAAGAGAGGTCATGAACATACTTAATGTGGAAGCGGTTTCAAACTAAAATAGTTAGGATTTCACTCGTATGACCACAAGAGTATTACTCTAGTACTGTCTTAAGTCATGCTTCCTTAATACTGAATAGCAAATAATTACCATACCAACCTACAGACTTCACAGAAACGTTTGTGAAGCCATATTAAATGACTTTTTACTGGTAGTGAATATTGAAATCATGATATATATATCGCATTACTGAACTTAATCCACCGGAAATGTTATCGTTGTAGGCGCAAAGAGATATTTAAAGCAAATAAGCCTTTTGGAAATTACATATGCATAAAAATTACCGCGGCAATAAGACGGTGCAGGTTGACGTGGTTCATTGTATGGCAGCGAAGTAAACTAGCTCCAATTACAGCACCAAGTTTAGAGATTCAGTATCCTAATGCAACTGTTGAAAAAACAAAAATGAAAATAGTCGGAATTTATCATGGCCTGACATCAGTTGGAGCATTATTAGAAACTTGGAAATACTCAACAACTGCTTCGTCCCACTTGTAGGGGATTACTCAGCAGTGCGGACTCAAGACCCTGCCCAGCCAGGGATCGAACCCTCGACCTTCAGGTTCCGTGGTCAGTACATTACCATTAAGCCACTGGGTTGGGATCTAGTGGACCATATTTCAAACTTCAGTCAGTTCACGACACAGCACGGTTATCGCCCAATGTCATCACTGAGTGTTTGTCCTCACAGACATCAGTTGGAAATATGGACCATTGGATTCCCACTCAGTGAATCAATGGTAACGTTCTAGCCATGGAACCTGAAAGTAGTGGGTATGCACTGCTGAAGAGTGCCGCACTAGGTCGAAACAGCTGTTCAGTGCTCTCAGGTCTTCAATGTTTCTCCAAATGATGTCAATCCATGAGAAATATCAATCTGAAAAAAAAATCTCAAAATCCCCACAAACTCCCTTAAGAGGAAAATGGATTTTTACGAAAATAAAAGTAAATATCATACATTATTTTCTAAATTTCGAATATCCGATTGTAGTTGCCTGTTCATTCTTTGAACTTCTAATAATTCCTGTTGAAGTTGATTCTTTTGTTCTTCAATTTTAAGTTTTTGTATTTCTATTTCTTTTTGTTGTCCAGTAGAAAATTCCACTGTTTTCATTGCACTAGAAATTTGTTTATCAAATTGTGTCTAATATTATAATAGGTAAAAAATAATAATGAAAATTAGAGGAAAGATTTCAAACAGTTTAAAGTTAGTAGTAAAATAGGATTAGTTTACTAGATATTCTTTTAAGATCAATTAAAAGTGAATAGACGACTAGTGTTATACTTAAAAATCTAAGTGGTTGTAACAGTCACCCTAACAACAATTAAAATAGCCAATCAGATTTGTTTATTTCAGTTTCATTTTTATAACTTTGAATTTACCTGTTTAGTACTTTTATCGTCCACTGAGGACATAAAAGCTCTCCACTTCAAGTAGTTTTCTTCTTCTGCTTATTAGGTAACGTTTACGAATTTTGCAGTAATTGGGACGTAGATACCGGTTACGAACAAGTAATTGAGACAGTTGATCAACTAGTTAGCGGGTTATAACAACAGTTACTTCCATGATGATATTCATGAAGTAATGATATACTTTGGAGTCTTACAGTGTCTTACAAAGTAGCGGACGTATGGCGGCAGATATTTACGTCAACAATTAGGTGTGTCTTATTAATGTTAATAGTATATAAGTTCGAGTATTCATAGATATGGCTCTAAACTTCATCCACCCGGGTGAATTTAGAACGAATTATAAACTATTCACCCTTTTCAAGTATGATTGTAAAGGAGATTAAAGTGGTTTGTTTGTTTTCATCTTCCTGACTGGCTGACCAACAGAGTTTTTCATGTTTGTACATTTATTAACAGAATGACTAGGTGGTTGGGGTCCACGGGAAAAGAAGAACTAGTGGTGACATCAGTTGGGGAACCATGGAAAACCTGGGAACACTAGAAAGCTGTTTCGTAGTAGTGTGCAACTCCTCAGCAGTGCACACCCACAACTCCACCAGGGATCGAACCCAGGACCTTCAGGTTTTACAGTGGACGTGTTAACCATCCACTGGATAGAAGTTTAATGGTCCACAGTTTCCTACTTCTGTAGATTCAAGATATAACTCAACTACCCATCAAGGTCTTCAGTTGACATCTCCTTCACTTACCCACTCCTTACATCTTTACATTAAAACTTCAGGATATCCATCTCGAAGCATGCCACTAATAAGCAGTGTATAGTAATGTACTTTGAGACTTATAGGGATCATTTATTTCCAAGTCACTGGCTGAATGGTTAACACATTTGCTATGAGACTTGAAGGCCCTGAGTTCGATTCCTGGCTAAGCATGGTGGTGAGTTTCTACTGCTGAGGAGTCCCATACTCCTAGGTTTTTATTGCTTCCCTAGTTGATTTCAGTCCGTGATGAATACATACTACTATTATTATTTGTTGACACTTATAACTCACAGTTGTTATGCTGGGTCGAAGTGATCAACTTCTGTTGGCATATGGATACCCACAAAGATGCCTGGCCATATCATCTGAATATTTATTGGTATAAATGACTTGGTTATGACTAGTAGTAGGATGCACGGTGCGCGTTCCGTCTCATTTGAGATTCTTCAGTATAACAACGGAGAATTACATGTATCGACAAATAGTAATAATGAATAACTCTTCAGCGTTTGAAGCAATGGGTATGAGGTTCAAGTCTAGGTAGGAGCAACATCACTAACTGAGAAGCAGATACATCCAGTTGATGAGTCTTAAATAGGGCGAAACACGTGTTCTAGATTCTTCTGCTAATCATGACTAGTTCAGTTATAAAACATATTGTCTTGATAATTTATTTTAAGTTCCACTAATTATTGAAATAAACCATGTTAATGGATTAGTTGAAAAATTCATTATACTTAGAATTTCAGCTTACCTTTAATACTTCATATTCTACACATTTTTCATTATGTAAACAAGTTTTTGTTTGAATTTCATTTTCTAGAACTTTTAATAAATTTTCACGTTCATTCAATTGTAATTGTAATTGATGAAATCGATTCTCTAATTCATTATAACGTTGTTCATTCAATTCTTGTGAATTATGAGCAGATTGTAAACGAATCTCTGATTCTGTAAGTGAATTTTTTAATTCAGTTATTTTTAATTCCATTTCTTTAAATTTTGTTATTTGTATATTTTGATCATTCATTGTATTTTCTAATTGTTTTACAATATTTTGATTTAAAGATAATTGATTGTTAGATTCTTCTAAAAGATTCTCATACTAAAAAAAAAAAATTTCAGTGATAAAATATACAAAAAATTAACTAAGCTACCAATCATCTTGGAGAAATTTCTGTGAAGTATTCGATGTATGCAGATAAAAAGTCATTTGATTAAGAATTACATTGAATATTGGAAGATATGAGAAGGCTTCAGGTGTTTGACCACTATTGCCTTCCTAATGTAGGCCGTATTCCGTAATGTCACCACATGAGTAACACAGAAGTCAGGTGTAGAGTTTCAGGAAGGAGAGGTAATTCACTAGACATGATTGTCAACCTTCACCGATTGAAATGGTGGGACACACGTTGTGTATGCTCAGTTGCCGATTACCTCGTTACACAATGTTGGCTGAAGTAGGTTCAGGCTGGAAAAAGGTCCGAGGTGGCCAGACTAAAACATGGCATCAATGTATGAAGTCTTTGATTGTTGCTTTAGACCATGTGCAGGGATACAAACTAGCCAGTTGGGGTCCAAGAGACAACAGAAACCAGTAGTTGGAGACTGAATCTAGGCGGTATGGCTCAGAATCGATGTCAGTGGCGCAGATGTATACACACATTGTCCTCATCTTAACGAAGCTATACCGAATCTCACCATTTTCTCATTTTTCCTCTGTCTCTCTCTTCGTGCTTTATATCTCTTTTGACTGAATTTTCTTTTCCTCATCTTCCACTTCACCGCCTTTTTACTTGATCTAATGGTATGAGGTGTGTCAACTCGGACCGTTACGCAGTAATGTCTCATCCTATGTTAATGAGGATGGATGGAGATTGAATAAATAGCAGCCCTCGACTAGAGCAGATTTACGAACGTCGAGAAAGTGTTTACCTAACCTTGAAGAACGGTTTTATTCCGTTAGACTGGAATATAAAGTTGTTCACTGATGGACAAACAGATGTTGACATGGGTAAATTTGGGCCTCGTAGCTCAATCGGTAGCGTATCGGGCCGAAAATCCAGTTGCCGCTGGTTCGAGTCCGGCAGCGGTTCAGATTTTCTTTCCACCTTCAATCGTCACCCAGTATAAGTATTCGGTAAACCAATAGTGTAAACACTTTAGAGTCACAATGCCCAAATATCTCTTAGTGTTTATGATCTAACAAACTACCGGTGATGAGCATTATTAGACTTCATTTAACATAACTGTACTAGTTGTTTATGATTTTTTAACTCATCAATGGACAATGGACAAAAGTTCGAGCCGAACGTTACAGTTAATTCATATAATTTATTCATGACTTATAAACCTAAGCTTTTTATGTATACGTAAAAACCATAAAATTCCATGAGAAATGTATACCTACAGCATCTAAATCACACAAAAAGAGGAGATAACTGAATGTGACTTGTGAACGGGGAATACAAAATCAAGAATAAGTATTCAAAGAAAACATGACTGATAGGGCGAATCTAGAGGCCATGAGGACAAATACTCAACGATGACACTGGGTGATGGTCGCGCTATGTTGTGAACTAATAGAAGTTCGAAATATGGACCACTGGATTCCCGTACAGTGGCTCAACGGTAATGTGCTGGCCACGAAACGTGAAGGTCCAGGGTTCGACCCCTGGTGGGGCGGAGTCATTGGTGCGTACTACTGAGAGGTTTTCATACGAGGAAGAAATAGCTGTCCAGTGCTCCCAGGTTCCCAATGTTCCTCCAAATGATGTCAGTCCATAATGAAGACGAGCTTGGAAAATCATTAAATCCACACAAACCCCCAAATTGAAGCAAGTATGTTAAACAAAATCTCCGTTGGTAAATAAAATAATTAATGAAAATAAAGTTTACAGCCTGAAATATCTTCCGACAGTGTATCCATAATCTGTGAAATCTTTAGTCTCAGCAAAATTATGATTTTACTCATTATTTCAGATGAAACTTGGTGTTAATTGTTAACAAACATTATATCTAGATTCAAAGAATCCAGAATATCCTCTTCCTCGATATGCAAGAATGCTTACAGTTCATCACAAAGTCGTGTAATCTATCTATAAAACATCTCACAGATGACCAAACATCTATAGCTAATTAAGGCCAATATGGGTACAGTAACACGTAGAACTGAATTCCTCTTCGGCAATAATCAAGCTAAGATTTAAAACTACAGCATAAAAACTTATTTTGTTCTCCCCTGAACACTATAGTAAACAAATGCCATTCAAATGAGGAAATCAAAGACGTTTGTTACATAATTTCACTCATCGTCTAACTTGGGGCTCGTCAGCCACATGCGTCTGCATCTAAGTGAGTGGTAGTCTTCTTACCAAAACTGGAACCTAACATCCTGCATTTCAAACGCCAGAACATTACTCACTAGGCTACTGATATAAGGGGGGCACCCCTTGTAAAAAAACAGGTAGAACTTGCTATTTCCAAGATGTTAGTCACTACCCAACCTTGCCTACTTAACTAGTTACTAGCCGGTCATAAGCCCAGAACAAGAGGGAAAGTTGGAGATAGTGCTAGCAACCCTACTCCCGAAAACCAATCCAATCGCTAAACAAACTTGGTGGAAGCCTGCCTTCGGGAAACCAACTGGCCGATGTCTACTCTCTTGATACAATTGAAAGTACACATAAGGACATGCAATGTCCACACAACGTTTGAACCTGGCTAGCAAGGCTGCCCAGGTTGCAAAAGAGATGAGAAACTATGGCATGGAAGTGCTAGGAATCTGTGAGGAAACTGCAGATGGAATGGAAATGAACTCTCCCAACTGTCAAATGGAGAGTCAATAATCTACTACGATATTGTCACGCAGACGACAACCGTGAGAACACCGAGTTTTGGAGTGGCTATCATGATGTCCCCAACAGCATCGAAGGCTCTCTCTCATGCAGTGGGAACCAATCTCCTTCTGCAGGATCAGGAGCATAACAGCAAGATTCTACCCAAAAGGAAGGAAATACAATCATACATTGTTACGCTATGCACCTACAAATAATGCAGATGCGGACCAAGAGAAGAAGGAGGAATTCTACAGACAACTGAAATCAGTACTGGACAAGACTACAGCCAGGTTGACGACATCAAAATTCTAATGGGTGGGTGACATGATTGCCAAACTGGGAGTGGACAACACAGAAAGAGAACTGATCATGGGTCGAGAAGCACTCGGTGAAATGAACGAGAAAGGAGAACTGTTTGCACACCTGTGCGCCTTCAATGACTTGGTGATTGGAGGCAGTGTGTACAAACACACACAAGGATATTCACAAGACAGCGACATGGACTTGATTTCACCAGACACACTACACATTAAAATTCAGATTGATTTCACCCCAATGTGAAGAAAGTGGAGATGCAGCCAGCCTACTCGGCACAAAATTAGATGAAGAAGGGGATCAGATGTAGGTTCACATCACTCACTGTCTGGTGAAAGGAACCAACCTTCAAATGAAGTTGAAAGGATTCAAAGAAGTTGGTGATGAACGAACACAGTTCGAGTTGAACACTCAGAACAGAAACTAACTGGAGGACAAAACAACAAAGGACATTCTAATGTCAGCCATCAGGACAAAATGAGAGACATTATACAAAATGCCTAGTGAAACCCCTGTTGAAGAACACTGGAACTCTTTGAGAGAGATGTGGAAAGAAGTCTACATAACCGTGTTAGGAAGGAAGAGGAAACAAGACAAGAGATGGGTCTCGACGGACACTTGGAAACCGATTGAGTGGGAAGAGGAAGATGGTGAAGCAGATGATGAACCAGTACAGTGCAATGGAGGGGTGAACAACGAAGAGAGGAACTGAACACAACCTATAAAACACTAGACTGGACAAAGAAGTGAAGAGAAGTGCACGGAAAGACAAAAGACACTTCTACGACACACTTGTAAGTGAAGCAGAACAGGCTGCTGGTAGGAGAGATAGAGACTTGACAACACAATATCAAATAACCAGGTTATTATCTGAGATGTAAGAAATCAACGTAGATGAAACCAAGGAAATATAGTACAGGAAACCTAGTTACCAAAGATAGAGAAACAAAGGAAACGATGGGCTGACCATTTCAAAAAGCTCTTGAATCGACCACCACCTGCAACTCGTTCAAAAATAACACCAGCAGCCCAGTCACAAAATTACCATTGAATACAGGTCCTCTGACAAAAGCCAAAGTCTTGAACGCCATAAAGTTGCTGCTTTCAAACGCGCTTAAGGTAGGGTTTTTATCACCGATACTGATTGCCGGTAGTTTTTTGAAGTGACCGAGTGAATAATAATAATTATACAAACGATCTTAACGTGATGAGACAGTTAGACTGCATACAAATAGCGACTCTTTTTCCTCAGAACCTTATACTTCACTGAGTACCGAAAATCAGAAAACAAAGACCGACTTGTGGATGTAACTAAAGCAATTTTATTCGACAGAATTGGGCCGTTTATATACAGCTTTCATGTAAATACAAAATCACTAGGTCAAAAATTAAATAACTTATTCTGATTGGCCAACTGAAGGATGAAATTGTCCAATAAGGCTTTTCTTGACCACACAGTAACATAAAATAAAGCTTACTTTAATATTGGCTTCTTGTGATTTAACTTCAGCTTGTTTCAACTTTTGATGAATATATACAATTTCTTCTGATTTCTGTTTTAATTGTTTTTCATATTTATCACGTGTATCTTTTAATTCCACTTGGATTTTACCTAATCCATTCAATGCAGTATCTCGTGCTAATTTTAACTTGGAGATTGTACGTTGATTATTGTGTAACTGTTTCTGTACATTATCATGAACTGATTTCAATTCATCCAATTGTTTTGTTAGATTTTTCAATTCATATTCAGTGGATGCACGTTTGTTGTCCATGGATATAAATAGATTGTTTAATTCAGATTTATACTGTTCAGCCTTAAATAAATTAAAGATAATATTAGAATCAAGCTGAAGACAATATTTTTCAAGATTTGTGTAGAACACAACAAATGTAATTTTTTAAGTTGATATTCATTATGAAATGATATCAATTGGAGGAACATTGAAAACCTGAAAGGACTGGTCAGCTGTTTATTTCTAGAGTATGGAATATATCCATGAACCATATGGTGTACATTGTTGAAGAATTCCATACTAGAGCGAAACTACTGTCCAGCGCTTCCAGGTTTTTTTCAATGTTCCTTTAACTAATGTCAATCTATGATGAATACCAACGTGAAAAAATCACTTAATCCCCACACACACACACCTAAATACAACAAATGTGAATGAAAGTATGAAGTGTTTCACAAAAATGAAGTATAGACTATGAAAGATGAAAATATATCATTGATAAATATACATCAAATTAGGCGATGAAGTATATATATATAATATGAACATATAAAAACGTTGAATAACTCCTCTTAAGTTACATAAAAGGGATTACATTGAATAGATTCAATGTAACGCTATGATAGCTATCTATTTAAACAAAACAAGAAGTTAATTACACAGAATCTTTGTTCATACCGTCTATTAATGGTCTATACATGAGTGTATGATACATGCATTGTATCCTTTTAGGACTCATTACACAAATGTAGCTAAATCATGAGAATTTTGGTGCTATTACTATCCTAACTCCTTTCCAGTATGTACCGCAAGAAATAATGCAAAGTTATTGTCTAAAATTGGAGGTCAACAATTGCCTCTATTTAAATGCATAAATTCGGTTTTATTCTTTTGATAGCAATTGCCTCTGGGAATCTAAGTATATTAGTATTGTTTTGTTTATTATCTTAAATGCCTTCGAGATCTGAACATCGAGTCCTGTGTCTATCAGATGTTTCACCTAGTTGTTACTTGGGATAGCACATAGAATGTATATCACAGAAAGATTAATTAGTTATTTCCAGATGATTTCATCTTGAATCCTCGAACACTAAACAGGGTAGGACTTAAAGAAATAAATGAATGAACAATTCTGTATGCTGATTGGTAGACTGGTTTGTTTTTTAATTGGCTAATTCAATATTAAATGTTTCAACTGTTGAGTTTTTAAAATGTTCCCGTTGTCTTTAAGTTCGATTCAGTCAAAACGTTTGCTAATCTAATTTACACCTACAATTATCTAAGAATTATTGGTATAGAGGAGGGTAAATTGTCATTTATTACCCCCAATTAGTGTTCAGTAGAACAGAAATAAAAAGTGACTATATAATCACACGCTTGTCGAAGTTTATTCCATGAATAATATTTTAACTATCAACTTTTGCTGTAGGAGTTTTAGGCCAGCATAAAGAGTATTTCTAAAATTTAATATACAAAGGATTTTATAATTGCAAAATGGTATTTATATCACGTTTGTAGTTTGCACCCTTTTCAAAATGTAAATAACAGTAATCCCTCAATTGGTTTCTCCGGCTTACTTCACAATCGATGATGAATTCAGTAAAGAATTTTTGCTGAAATTACAGGATCGTCATCTTTATTCATTTTACCAAGCAAATTGACTATTGTTCAATGTGTTTAAAACATAGGAAAGAGAATGAATGCAAGAATTCAAGGCTGACTATTATCTAACAAATTCAGTTTGTGATGGACAGCAATTGGAATAGGAAACGAACATATTAAACATGTAGGTCAATTCTATCACGTACAATCAAAAATACGATCAAAACATGCTTCACTGACAATATTTCAGTCTGTTGTACATAATCATGTATTAGACATATGAATCACATTCAGAATAAAGAAAAAGACCCGGATCCTCAACACTAATGTCAGTCAGGTGAGTCACTGTTTCTATGTGATGCTTCAGAAACTTGACACCTCATGAAAAGCACTTCCAGCAAACTACAGACATACATCATCAACAGCTACCGCATACGCCCAAATGATACTGACACTGAAGATCAGATGGATGGCCAGAGTAATAAGAATAAGCAAGGATGAACTCACTCTGGTTGGCTGGCTGGCAACGAACCAACCAACAACCTATCGCCCAACAAATATGCATGAGAAAGAAGTAGCGATGGATTCAATCGGATTGGATTGGATATACACTGAGAAGACTGTTTGGGGACATCATGCTCCAGGCCAAGCCGTTGAGTGGAACCCGCATGGAAACGATGAGTCAGGTGTCCGAAGGTGACATAAAGGAGGTCGTGTGACGAAGAATTGAAAGCTTCTGGGAAGTGGTGGAGTCAGGTTGGAAAGACTGCAGAGAAGAGACTGAAATGACGATGGCGACGTGCTTCTGAAGCTGTATGTTGCTTTTTTCAGTAAGTCCTTTGATATGAACTAATGTTCTAACATTGGTTGTACGTTACGAAGCACCATTGAAACAGACATGATAGACATGGGAAAATATATGGCATGTGCTTCCTATGCCTAGAATATATAATTACTTTGAAGATTAGAACGGCAGTTCAATGATATGACCACTGAATTTCGCATTCAAACTCAATCAGCCTGAAGAAGTACAACTGACTCTGAAGTAAAGCAATAAACATCGCTCATACATCGCATTTATTTACATAACCAATCACTTGACTGCACTATGTAACCTTGAATTCACGACTTTAAGAGTGAATGAAGTACAGAATTCAAAAACACTTACTGTATGCACACAACAATGATAATCACATCTATTTTTTCACCGAAAACCGGGGTGCTACTGATAAGAATGGATATAAGTAGTATATGTTAGGGGGTCGGCAGAAGTCATAGGCAATTACGAGAGATAGGTTAATGTTCTACTCATAGAAACGCAGAAGACTATGTAAATGTATGAAGAGCAAATCGAGATAGGGGAAGAAGAGAAAATGAAGCACATTGTGCAAATGACTGTACTGTACAAAATGTCATAATAAACATTCTGTCCTACATCTCATTCGTTGTCGTATCTTACATTACTACCAAATTAAAATCAGTCGCCTTGATGTTATCAAACATAACAAGAAACTGTAAGTGCTACTTGAAGCATATAATCTATAAATGAATAGGAAAGATTGACTAATGAATCATTAAGTTGTTGCAACAAAATTTGATTAGAGCACAATTAAAACAGCCTTACTACAGGGCATTTAAACAAATAACAATCATAGTATTTATCTTAAATTCCTTCAGTATTTATGCTACTATGTTAAATTATCTTTTACAAAGTGCAAGCATATAAACAGATGAGCTATACAATGGAAAACATACCCTTTCTAAACAGCACTGATCTGTTTGTTCAAATTTATGAAACAAAGTATAAAGCGTAATTGAATAAAATTAAAATGTTACGCAGTATATAAAAAATTACATATTTGACAATAGATACAAAGCAGTTTATTTCCTTGAAGTCTTAAGTCTGAGAGAAAGTTGTAGTAGATATCTAATATTGATGAATACTGTATTTTACGGTAATTTGCTAGCAGAAGAATTCAGGACGCGCGTTTTGTCCTATTCGGGACTCATCATTCGGACGTACATGTACCCCAGTGCGGAGTGATGTTTTTCCCACTGGGACTCGAACCTCGTACCCATCGCTTCAAACGCCGATGCGTTCGTTATCCACTATGCCATGGAGGCACGATAGCTACTTCTTGTACAACGGGTACTAGTTATTACTACTTATCGATATACTTGTAATTCTCCGTTGTTTTACTGGATCGAATCGTTCGATATCTATTGGCATATAGGCTCCTATGCAGATGCCTCGATATTTCCTGAATGTTATTTTATTTTGTTGTGGCTAGTAGAGGAATCCAGGATGCATGTTTCAAGTCTCAGTGGGAATAACACCACTCCGCACTGGGGTGCAGGTACATTCAGCTGACGAGTCCCAAACAGGACGAGGCGTGCGTCATGGATTCCTCTGTTAGCCACAACCAAGTAAATTACCATAATCAACATTCAGACAATATTGAGGCATCCACATAAGAGCCTATATGCCATTAGAGGCCGAACAATTCGATTCAATAAAACAATGGAGAATTTCAAGTATAGCAATAAGTAAGAATACTGTTTTTCCTGACACCTTGATAGCGTTTCTCTTATGGTTTTTAATAAGATTGCACCAATTCTTCTACTAGGTTCTAACTAACTGAAACCTTCTACAACCAATCATTTCGCCTAGAAGTTTCGAGAAAAGCCATGTAGACATAACTGTTAACATTAGATTGGTTGAAAAGATAAATCAAATAAATGTGACCTTTCAGAATAGCCTTGAGATAGCCAAGGTCATTGTATTTTGATGTTGAACTACATCTGTTATTTTATAGTTTTTACTACTTATCGAATAACTGAGTGACCATCAAGCGTATGACCTAAAGGTTACTGCTCAAATGTTTATTCACATATATAAATGACCAGATTACATCAGTTCCAATCAAGAGAACTAGCATGTTTGTTTAAGTTTACAGATTGAATAGTAAATGAGTCGAAAATACGAAAATTGACTACTTAACTACCTGATTTTCTGCTTTTTCTAACAATTTAGATTTGATACTAATTTGTTCTTTTGCTTCTCGAATTTGTTCTCTTAACAAATTTAATTCATTGTCAAAATTATCACGTTGTTTAGTTTCTGTTAATTTTGTTTGTTCAATTGTTTCATAAGCTTTTGTTAAATTTTCTTGTAATTGTTCACACCGAACATTAGATTTCTAAATAGATCCCGAGGAAGAAAAGTTAACCAATGATAAAGAATAGATAAAAAAAGGGATGATTAAAACATATCAATGTATAAAATGAACAACAACTAAATTTATTGTACAAGATAGATAAGTCACAGTAAATGTCTCAGTTTAACTATCCTGATCGATGAGAGTAGAGACAAAAACAAAACGATAAATCATTGACAACTTACGCAGTATGAAAGCTAAAACAACACTACCAGTTACTTTTGTACACGTGATCAACGATTTCGAAGAATAAGTGCATGTAGACGTGGCAAAAATAAGTAGAGTTTATTCTTGTCATCAGGAAGACTTGATGACAGGTGTAAAACAATTTAAGATTACCAGCAGTGATATCATAGCAACCAGTAAAATGGGTCTACTTTTTCTAATAAAGATACAGCACACAACTCTCACTTCAATCAACTGTTTCGTTCAGTGTTTAAAATGAAGTCAAGCATTTATTAGAACAGTACTGGTGTGGAATCATGCTCCAACCCTGTCTACTTCAAACAAAATATTAAGCCACATCTTCCTGGAGAGAATAAAAAATGCTCTCGATTCAAATAGATAACGATCGGAACAAGCTGGCTGGCTTCAGCTAGAACACATCATGTGTGGATCAAATTGCAACGCTACGCTACACAAAATTGTACAACACAGCATAGAATACCACTCAGATCTCTACCTTAAATTCACCGATTTTGAAAAGGCCTTCGACAGCGTCGACCGAGAAGTAATTTGGCAGCTGTTGCCCCAACACTACACTACGGTTTCAGAGCCACAAACCTTTATCAGTTCTATTCAACAGCAGCTATATGACGATGCTACATGCCAAGTGATTCACAATGAAAAGTTCAGTGATGCCTTTGAAGTGAAGGCAAGAGTGAGACAAGGCTGCCTACTATCACCGATGATCTTCATGACTGTAGTCGACTGGAGTGGACTGGATCGCTCAACGAACTGTGAGGAACGAGAAGATGGGCATATGCTGTTTGACCGATGAAAAGACCCTAAGAGATTTGCATTTCGCCGATGATGATGATTTATGTCTAATGTCTTGTGTCTCACAACGTCGAAGGTCTACAGGCGAAAACTAACAGGTGAACGTAGAAAAGATGGAGGTGAAGAAGATACCCAACCAACAACAACAAGCACCAATCACCATCAACAGGAGAAACCTAAAGGAAGTAGTCTCTTTCACCTACCTACATACCTACCTACCTACCTACCTAGGAAACATCGTCTCAACTACAGGCGGAACAGGCACACATGGGGACGTCAGAGCCAGGATTGGAAAGACAGCAAGACAGGCCTCCCTTCATTAATCTGAAACCAATCAGTGTGGAAATCTACTACTGCATTCAGCATGAAGCGTGAATAAGATCCGCATTTTTAACACTAATTTCAGTCAAGTGAGTCACTGCTTCTATATGATGCTTCAGAAACTTGACACCTCACGAAAAGCATTTCCAACAAACTACAAACATACATCACACCAACGGTCGCCTCAAACGCTCACGCGATACTGACACTGAAGATCAGATGGATGGCCAGAGTAATAAGAATAAGCAAGGAGGAACTCACTTTGGCTGGCTGGCTAGCTGACTAGCTGACTAGCTAGAAACGAACCAACCAACAACCTATCTCTCAACAAATATGCAGAGGAAGAAAGAAGAAATGGATTGGATCTGGTATACACTGAGAAGACCGTTTGGGGACATCACGCGTCAGGCCAGACCGTCGAGTGGAACCTGCATTGGAAATAACGAGTTGGGTGCTCGAGTCGAGGGTGACATGTAGGAGATGGTGTGAGGAAGAAATGAAGGTTTATGGGCAGTGGTAGAGCCAGGTTGAAAAGACTGGAGAGAAGAGAGTGAAATGGCGACATGCTACTGAAGGCCTATGTTCCAGTGGGAACTCCAGGGACAAATAATAATGATAAAAACAATAGTAATAGTAATGGGCAGTGCTCAAGTTCTACACTTAATTAAAAGTAGAACTTACTAACCATAAGTTCAGATTCTAAACTTTTACACTGTGATCGAATAGATTCTAATTCTGGTTGAAGTTGTGATTCAATGCATTGTTTTAATTCTAATGCTGTAGCAACACCCTCTTCCCCAGTTGTCAAAGCTGCTAAGAGACGTGTTGAAGCATTGGATGCATCTAAAGCAGCTTGTCTTTTAAGATGTTCAATGGTTAGCACATTTTCTTTGATATTATTCTTTGCTGAAGTCAACTCACTCTGTAAATATTGACGCTCATCTAGCATAGTTTGAATCACTTCGTTCGATTTCTGTAAGTCTAAATCACGAATATTCTGTAAAAAAAATTGTTTAAAAAAGCAATTAGTCTGATAATTAAGTAGGACATCTGTAAATTTCATAAGATGTTTCATTATTTTCCAATTACAATAAACCAATACTGGGTAGTGAAACCGCCACAATATTACAAACGCGAGATGGATAAAGCTACCATATTTACAACAGTGCAGGAACGTGAAATTGGTAGTTGTATGAATATCCAACATTAAACAAGAATAAGGATATGAAAGAAGATTACAATGAGTAAGTATGAAGTAACAAAACGTTCAAGAGGTTTGTTAAGGTTTCCTAATCTCTAATAAAAATCAATTTATAATATGCTTTATATCATTATTGTAAAATTTAGACCTTATTTTCGCGTCATGCGATGTTACTTATTTTTACCGCAGTTTAGAATACTAAACACTGATTGGTCCATCTTACACTTTTAATATGCTATTTTGTTTTTCCCAGTCAAGGTCATCTAGGGAAACATAAACGACTGAACTTTCAGCTATGAAATTATTCAGTTGAAGTAAATGTACTTTCAACTCCATCGGCTTCTTCTGATGTCAGTTGAATATCGAGTTGACAAGTCATTGTTCTATCGTTAATCATATCGCTTTGGAGCATTGTATCGTTATATATACCGTAGATCAAAACAAGTTTGATTTAGATGAGCACTAAATACACTTGCGTTATGGATATGAATGTCGTTAAGGAGTAACTGCGTAAAGTGAAAGTCATATATATATTATAATGACGTATAAACTGATATACCTGCCTAGTAACTATAAAACTGATTATGTACTACATCATACGTCGTCAGATTTTGAATTCACGTCTACTGGACAGAATTTATACCTATAGCTTTCTATCTTACAATTATACAAATAATAAACTCTTAAAGCATTCATACTTGAGCACACCAGCAGTACATTCTGTTTGCAGAGTCTTGTTACATATGTACATAATAGCAGTCAGTGATGTTCATATTATGGTTAGAATAGTAACTTCAATGGTTGGATAGCTATAAACAAACTTAACTAAAAAGATAACAAATTTATTCACCGTAACTGCTTTCTGAAAAATGAATTAAGTTACATTATACTAACTAAACTTTGTCAAATCATCCCATTATAACTTATGGTTTGGTAATCAACATTCAAATACAGGTGACGTATTTTGTTTCCAGGTTGATATTCATCATAGAATAACATAGGTTGGGAGGCCTACAGATCATGAGATCGGTTCCTGGTGGGATCAAGGGTGAGAGCTGCTGATGAACCAAAGACTAAGACGAAACAACTGTGAAGCGCCCCAAGATTTCCAGTGTTTTTTTCAACTGATGTCAGTCCATGATAAATATGAACCTGAAATCCATGAATAAATCCCCACAAACATCTAAACTGAATAACTGTAGTGCTCATTGGTGACTGGCTTTGACATGAGATTCCCGAAGTTCTTACGAAAAGTCATGATCGGTAAGGCCAACCAAGTCGGAAATGAAGACAGATACTCCACGACAGCATTAAATGAATGTTGCATTATATCATGAACTAACAGAGGTAGGAAATGTAAACCACTTGATTTCAAGCTAATGGCTCAAAGGCAACGTGCTGGGAGCAGAATCTGAAAGTTCTGGGTTCGATCCCCATCCGGATCATGTATGCATTTTGCTGAGGAATCCCATGTTAGGATGAAACAACTGTTAAATGTTTCTCCAAGTAATGTTAGTATATGATGAATATCAACCTCAAATCAGTAAATAAATCCTCATAAACTTTCGAAGTACTACTGTTTTCACTTGAAACCAACCACCTGTCATCGCTCCAAACACCAGATTATTATATAACAGGCTATTGATTAACACTAACCCTCCTCTCTTTTAACATATAACTGTCCCTATTACCATGAAAATTTTTCACGTAGTTGGTTTACAAAACTTAATTAATCAGTTATTATGATTTTTTGATTTACTTGTAATTCTCTGTTGTTATACTGGATTGAATTGCTTAACCTCTGTTCGCATATGAACTCCAGTGAGGATGCCTTGATGTTGTCTATATATTTGTTGCTATAATTCACTTAGTGGTGCGTAGCAGTGGGATGTCGGATACTCGCTGCGTCCCATTAGGGGACAGTCAGTAGGATTTACTCACACTCCAATGAGTGATGGTGTTCCTTCTGAGGTTCGAACCCGGTAGCCATCGCTTCTAATATCATCACTCACTGAGGTGTAGGTATACTCAGCCAAAACATGGAGAAACACGTGTCCTGGACTTCACTTTCAGCTACCACTAACCAAATTATAAATTAATCAGTGTCTATCAACTGGTAGGTACTATTTAACGACAACAGGACACCACCTTCGATAATATTTCAGTTGTATTTGGTTATGGTAAGTTTATACACAAAGTTATATTGATAAAATTTGTTTATAGAGTATTAAGGTATGTTTACTTTTTGTTCTTGGTATGATCTTTTCCACTTAGAAGCTTCACTATGTATAGCCATTAAGCGTCGTTTAAGTTTGGCCATTGCAACTTCATTCGATTTTGTTTGTTCTTCAACACGAACTTTTATTGTCGCCAAATCTCTTTCTAATTGTGTATTGCGCATAGATAAGTTATCAGCTCGTTGATGTGCAGCAGCTAAGGCATTTTCAGCTGAAGAACGTCTTTCAGATGCTACGCGTACAGCTTTCTCATTTTGAACAGAATTCCTATTTGCTAATAACGAAGAGAAAAGAAGAGATTTTAATAAATGCTTATAAAGTTCAATCTAAAGCTTACTTAGTTATTTCATTGGTAATGAATAGTCAATAAAAATGTTTGTCAGTGTTTCATCAGTGAATAGAAACAAAATTACACATAGCGGTATCCTTTGGCCTGGATATCGTTACTTAAAAGTACCTGGATTTCAGTAAGGATTAGTTTTCGAAATAAGTATGTGTAGGTACTCAAAATTCATAACTTTAAATCCCTTCTATCTATCTATCAAAAAACATCGATAATTGCCGGTCAGCAGTTCAGCAGAAGGCATCATTCTTTTCGAACTAAGGTTTATTTGCCTTATAAATTAACGTAAACTTTGGGAACTACTTAACGCCAACTAAATCTAAGTGTTCAACACAAAATGGAATAAAAACACTCTGTTGAGATGCATCTACTGTCTAAATCCTGATACCCTGGTATCAAAACGCCCATATAAAAGTTCGTTACCAAAGGTCATCAACTGACGGTTATCCCGTCTTCAACAGTGTGTACCCGTGACCCCAGACGGGGTCGAACTTAGGGCCTTCAGGTTTCATGGCTAGCACTGAGAAGAGGTCACGCTATATCACGAACTAACAAAAGTGGGAAGATGTGAACTGGCCACAGAACCTGAAGTTTCTGAGTTCGATCTCTGGCAGGGTCATGGGTGCGCAGGGCGAAACAACTGTCCTTAGCTTCCAGGCTTTCAATGGTTCTCCAATTGATATCAGCCCGTGATGAATACTGATTTCTTAAGTATGTTTTTATCTCTCTGCTGTAAGCTGTATCTTAGGCTCACAAAGTATGAAATCGTCAGCCATTAGACTAGGTTCTCACTACCAAGCAATTAAATATAATTTCGAACCTCCCACTATCTGCTTCGATGTAGGTAACCATTTAGAATTACAAACACTCACACATAAGTTTAGTTCACAATCTAGCGAACAAATCTTGAATAAGTTCCTAAATGTTACTTTTGATATCATTATCGTTATTATGTTTGAGATATCAAATGCTGTTTGATTACCAGTGCTACTAATTAAACAATCTAACATTCATTTATAATTTTTAAGAAGTTAAACTATCTTGTTTGTAATATGATGTTGTGAAAATTCTATCTCTTACCAAAGGAAAAATAATGAGTCTACTACAAAACATGAGTACAATGACTCATATATTCTCGTCACCCTTTAAATGATAAAAATAAACACTGACCCAAGGGTCACAAAGTTGCTGTATTCTTTTTTTGAAACGAAACAGTATCCTGTATATAAAGAGAGGCGCTCCACTTCATTGTTTACTGAAGCTGATGTGACTCAAGGTCCAATACTTTCTCCGTTTCTGTTCTCGTTCTTTTGCATGATTTACCTTATTCTGTCGAAACTAATTCCATTAAGTATGCTGATGATGTGACGGTGTCTATTTCAGTTAACTCTCACTTAGATTGCTCTGAATAAAATAGATTCTTGTCTGTAACTGACCAATCGTCTCTCTCAAATGGTCTCAAGTTAAATCCTTTCAAATGTCAGACTGTTAGTTTTAGCCTCAAACATGAACAAGACTTGTGTCAGGTGCTTAGGTCCCATAACTCCTGTTGTATTGATGGTATTTCAACATAAAGTGAATCGAGTGTTAACTATCTTGCACTGAGTTTTACTTCGAATGTTGATCGTCTCATATCTTGTTGACTTGTAAAAAAATCTTTCGTTTAGTGTATTACATAAAGAAACTGAGGCTATCTGGTATAACTCAACTTCTAGTGTTACAATTTACTAATTCCTGCATTTCACCTATTCTTCTCTATTGTTCTCCGTTGATCTCTCCTGGTCTACTAAGAAAGGACTATGTTGTACTGCGTATGGCTTTGAAAGCTGTCAGTAGGGTGAGTGGTGTCCCTCTGGCTCAACTGATTAACACTGTAGTTGATAGACATTTTTAATTCTAGCAACCAATTCTAGCTACAGTAAGTCTAACTAACACAGAGAATCCACTTTATTCACAGCTCTCTCCTTGTATAGCCTCAGGGAGGACAAGAATAAACTACATAAGACTGTATGCTCGGACAGCTGAGTACGAGCATTCGACTGTACCTCACCTAGCACGCATATTATGTGAGGAAAAGCGTGTTAGAACACAACTCACATATCAACTTTGTAACAGTTAACAACCAATCTCATTTCAATAATTTAACTAACAATGTAAAATATTCTCGTTATTAATATCCTTTATATTACTTAAATGTTTAGAATAACACATTTGGAAATGTTGTGAAGGAGTATATAAACATACCATATATTTTGTTGTTGTTATTGTTACAATACTGTTTCATGCTGAGAATTCCAAATTATACCAAAAAATGTTTGGAATAAAGTGAATATTATTATTACTATTTATTGATATACTTTTAATTCTCCGTTGTTTTATTGGGTAGAATTGTACGACCTATATTGTCATATGGTCTCTTATGCGGATGCCTCAATATTGGCAGAATGTTAAGTATTGTCATTTACTTGGTTGTATCTAACATAAGAATCCATGGAGAATTACAAGAATATCAATAAGTAGTTATACCTAATACTCACTGTACAAGAAGTGACTATCATGCCTCCTTGGCATAGTGGATAACGCCTTGGAGTTTAAAGCAATGGGGACTGAGTTCGGTTCACAGTGGGGAAAACATCAATCCACACTGGCGTGAAGGTACATCCAACTAACGAGTCCCAAATAGGACGAAACATGCGTCCTGGATTCCTCTCCTAGCCAAAACCAAGCAAATTACCTTTATTATTATTATTATTATTATTATTATTATTATTATTATTATTATTATTATAAAGTAGTGATGCTATATGAGAACAGAGCAGATTTTTTTTTAAACAGAACTGATTACCTTGCTCAGTCTTACATCTTAATTCATTGTATTGGTTTGCTAAATTCTCTGCACGAGATGATGCTTTTTGGGCGGTTAATTTGTACTTAGCAAGTTCATTGGATAGATCGCAATTCACCTGTTGAAGATGAGCAATACGATTCATTGAATCACTTAATTCTTTTCTACTATTTGCTATTTCCTTGTTAAGATCCTATAGGAAAGCGAAAAAAATAACATTACGACATTTTAAGATGTTTTTTTTATTATAACAGTGAACTAGAACTACACAGGTATATCGAGGTATCCACACAGAAGCCCATATGCCGATAGAGACGGATCAATTCGGTTCAATCAACGACGGTATAACATACAAGCAATAACACTGAAACTATAACCGTCGCACAAGAAGTGGCTATCGTGGCTAGGCGGTGTAATGGATAATGCTCTGGCGTTTAAAGCAATCGCTCCTGAGTCCGAATCCCGGTGGGAACAACATCATTCACTGGGAGGTAAGTATATCCAGCTAACGAGTCCCAAATAGGATGAAATGTGTATCCTGGATTTCACTCCTAGCCACTATCCATCTTTACTATAACTATAACATTGAACTGCTTGAATGTCAACAAGTGTTGAGTTATTTGATTTGTTGGCTTTGCCTAACCTAAATAAGTGAGCACAACGACTTACCTCATGAGTATTGAAATGAATTGTCAATTTGATATGGGAATAGAGAGAAGAGACTACTCTGAAGACGGACCAATCAAAATGTACTTTATGTTATAACGTCTATAGTTAGATAGACAGACAGCCAGACGGTGGATCAGCCAATCAAGTAGTACTTTAAATAGCTGTCTATGTATCAATATGATGAAGAATATTTGTAGCTCAGGTGGATAGTTTTGGTTGCATTGTGTCCTCTCGGCTGGATGGTTGTTTAATCGTGGATCTTTCATTGTCTTTCTAGGTGACATTATCAGCACTAACTTCCGTATGAAGGACTTCATCGGCTAGAAAGATGGCGAACGCTCCATGATTAAACAACCCAGCGCAGAGAACATGATACAACCAAGATACACTAGATATATTTTTCCCTATTCTCGTTTTCGGTCTTTCGACCCCAGTACATGTAACTACACGTCTATCGTGTCTTCTTCATTAATTAGTAGGGTCGGGAATCAACTAGGAAATTGTTGAATGTCGGTGGCTTACAGTCGATATCTGTGCATGCTTAGCGGGGATAGCAGTTTCCGAAACATAACATTTTTAATCAATGCGGTGAAAGAAATAACTGAACGAAAACTTCTGAAAAAAACCCAAACGTTTCATTCTGTTAGGATAGTAGTGATCTAGGAATCTGGATGATATCCGGTCAATACATACTTGGAAGTCAATTTCTAGAGAAGGAAGAAAGTTTTTCTTCACAACTATTTATCGAATCTATCATATAGTAGGATAGTGTTGTTTACTGATTAACATTTTAGACATAATAGAATTAAAGCAGAGACTAAACGTAAACTCAGTTCACCATGATCCTCAAGCTATGAACTACAAAAGTCAATATAAGATCATGATGAAGTCAAAACCGAAATGAAACAAGAAAAGAAAAAAAGATTGAAACAAACAGTTACTTCGATAAGATGAGCTAAATGAGAACGTTCACTATATCTGTGTTACTTTTCACAAAAACATAAGACATCATCGTCACTGATTTCAATTCAAAGGTATATCTCATAACATCTTAACCTACTAGGACATATGATCCCTTATATACCTTATCCAGGAAGTTGTGAAACACCAACAGACGTTAATTCAATGCAAGAATCAATCGTTCAATGGAGTCAATTTATGTAATGACCACCTCTTCGCTTCCCTTTTAATCTCAGGACAAGCAAATAAAAGAGTATCTGTTGGGGAGACATTCGTAACGCAGATTCAAGTCACCGAAGCCCGTGTTTAATGGCGACTTTAAGCAACCAATGACAATCTCCATGACATGTAAACATACCCAACCGTATATGAAGATTACAAACATGGTGTTTTCATCAGATGATGATCGAACAGATAAATCATACAATAATGGTGGTCAACCCAAGTAGCACATCTTCTTTCCAGAATAGTTGAGTCGGATATCATGATGAATAACAGCTTTGTGAAAGTACCTACCTACCTAGCAACTTCAAACAAAACATATACCGAGCAGTTTAATGAAGTAAGAATAGACGCAAAGGTAAAATGACAAATCAGGCCAACGTAAACTCTGTATTATATTAGTTTAGTGGATATTCCACGTAATGACACAGTATTATTTACTGGATGACATTTCCAGTACAAATTATTGACCATTATCATATCAATGTAATCACATAACATTTTACACTTTCTTTATACAATCCAACAGTCCTTTATTGCTTATTTTCTTTTGTGTCTTATCATAACGACCAAGTTCTACTCTCATAAGACAATAGTTAATACGGAAATAACAATACAGTAGAAATAAATTTAACAAAATAATGATGGATAGTGGCTAGCAGTGGAATCCAGGATGCGGACTTCGTCCTATTTAGGACACGTCAGCTGGATGTACACCTGCCTCCCAGTGAGTGTTGTTCCCACCGGGACTCGAACTCGGGACCAACCGCCTCAAGCGCCATAGCGCTGTCCACCAGACCATCGAGCTATCTTGGCTCTGTGGTCTAGTGGATAACACTTTAGCGTTTAAAGCGGTTAGTCCTGAGTTCGAATCCCTATGGGAACAACATTCACTGGGAGGCAGAAGTACATCCAGCTGACGAGTCCCAAATAGGACGAAGTCCGCATCCTGGATTCCACTGCTAGCCACTATCCATCATTACTATATACAATTAAAGCACAGGTAACACCAAGGCATCCGCATACGAGCCCATATACCAACAGAGACGGATCAATTCGGTCCAATCAACGACGGTATAATACAGGCAATAACACTAAAAAATAATCTGAAATATGAAGTTTACGTTATGAGATAGCTAGTTGGCTAGTACGTGATGCTGGCCTATTATATTGGCATATATGAAGAGAAAAAATTAACACAGAATATTATTCAACTACAATTCTCAAGTTCTTCTCCTTCATCAAGAGACAAGCTAATATCTATCTTAACACAATACTACTTAGAAGATTAAGTTAACGATGATCCAAAACATTGCAAAAATCGATAAAATCAATAACTACTATTTTGATCCATTTCTTGAAATACAATCCATCCATTCTAAAGTTCTCAATGAACCAACAGATAGAAACACTTGTTGAAATACTTCACAGTTGAGAGTAGTGTCAAAGATTTGTTCAGTTTTTATTGCTATTAAAATTCTGAACAACTAGTAAACTTTTATCGATTGGTTCTCTTCGAATCATCTTGCTTCATTATGTCTTCTTGAACAACTTTTTGTAAGTTTTTTAGAATCTAGCAGTTAGAATTGCTGCATTCGTTTGTAATAACCCTCATCAATCTGTCTATTTCCCATAAGAACTTTTATAGTGGTACATAAAAAGATTTGACAAAATAGGGACTTCATATATGAGCCATTTTTTTTAAAACATATTATTGCTTGTATTATTCCGTCGTTGAGTGAACCAAACTGATCACGGCAGTGTCATACTCAGTATTCACTGTAAGAAATCATGGGTTGGTCGAAATACATATTTCTGATTATTTGTCCCGCTTACGTACAAGACGATGTTTCGAGCCAGTATGATTTTCACAGCTGATACTTTAAACGATGAATTAAGTATAATAGAGAACTCCTTCTATGAGATAGGCTATCCTGAAAAGTTCATAAAGACTGTCATAATGAAAACAGCTGGAGAAAACCGCCTTTAAATGGTGCCAAAGAAACGGTTGCATCTAACCTTAACATTCAAATGAGATGCAGCTGCAGCTGCAGAAACACTGACACTGTAACTTAGAAATCTGATACAAAAAACCTTTTTTGCCTCCACATTATGTTTGAAATTGACTACTCGCTGTGTGATGCCAATGCAGTTGAAAGATAGGCTTCCAAATCTGACCACATCTATGTGCAATTATAAACTTAACTGCTACTGTGGAGATAGTTACATAGGTAGAAAGACTCGGCAAGCCTATCATTGCTTCACTGAACACTGTCCAGCGTGGTTAGGTAAAGGAACAGTGAAATCCCCCAAAAGCTCAATACTCACCCATCTAGAAGATCTGAGCACAAGACTGACAAAACTTCAACATTTACTATTGTTCAAAATGTTTCATCTCAGTACTCTAAGTTTGTGCTCCTCCTATTGCTAAGCCTAACAGAAGCCATAGCAATTAAAAAATTTCAACCTAATTTATGTATTCAGAAGATGCATGTTCGCTCCCTTTCCTTTCCATGGCCTTCAACTTCAATCCAGATACAATTGCAATAAATTCCTTCCTGATAACCCGAATAAATGTAATCTTTGTTTGTACTCTTATCATTATCACTTTATTTTTCGCCCTTAGTTTCACAACTGATTAAAAACTTTAACATTTTATTGTCAAACTCCGTCTTCTAATGATCGGTCTCTATTGGCAAATGGGCTCCTACGCAGATGCCTTAATATTGTCTGTGTTTGACTTATGTATTATTGATGGAAAGCGGCTAGCAGTGAAACTCGATGTACAAGAAGTGGGTATCGTGACTCGTTGAAGTAGTGAGTTCCAAGTTCGAGTCCTGGTGGGGACAAGATCGCTTACTGGGAGGTAGGTACATCCAGTTGACGAGTCCAAAATAAGACGAAACGCGTGTTCTAGATTCCACTGCTTACCACTATCCACCAATAATTTTTGAAACAAATAAAATTTAAACTTAAAAAACCTACTTGAATTGTAAATTCTGATGTTTTCAGTTTTGAGAACAAACTATCACGAGTTTTTTCAGATTGCTGCAACACATTATTCAGCTCTGTGATCCTACCTTCATAAGTGTCTTGAATAGAGCATATCTGTAGAGAAAAGTTAGAGAAGAAAGAAAGTCAAAGTCACTGTACATCAAACTTTATGCGTAGTTATTTCTTGGTATATTTCACAGATATGTGGTCATACGGTTTCCTGTGTTGCTTGTCTGAACTCAAAAGATGCAAGTCTATTTTTAGTTTCATTCGAGACTTTTACATAGAAAGTTCGCTTTTCTGATCGAAGCTATTTTGAATAACTTTATCAACAGGTTTAAAGGTATCAAGGATGTTTATTTTCGAAGGTTGGATAGACTTTTCAATAACTGGTATTTTTTCCAGTAGATAAAACTCATAAATTATCCTGTATATTGAAGGGGAAGCATAATAGAGTCTATTTTTGAATAAATATGAAAGGTATTACTTTATGGCTACAGTTTTTTAACTATCACTCATATTAGCTATCATTCACAAAAGCTTCATGAAAGCAGGGAAATTAAAAAATAAGTACAATGACTAAAGGTAAAATGATACGAAGCTCCCAACAATGGAAGAATCATGTGAAATAACCACACATTTATTATTAAGCTTAGTTAAAACGATCAATAGGATATTCCAACTTCACTTTTTTATAAAGACGTAACGAAACTAATGCTTACACTACTGCTGGAAGCCTTTTATATTCAAAAGTGGAGCTCAAATAGCAATTAACTTACCAGAACGGAGACAGGCCTACTAGTGTTCTAGAAAACCAATGACGACGAATAACTTGAACTTAGAAATTATAGAGGCATTAGGATTTCACAACCTTCAATCAATATGTACTTATATGAATTTACATCATATAACGACCAAATGGAATAAGTGTAATCTAGTGAATAATAGCAACTATAATTATTATTATTATTTGTCCCTAAAGTTCCCACTGGAACATAGGCCCTCAGTAGCACGTCGCCATTTCACTCTCTTCTCTCCAGTCTTTTCAACCTGGCTTCACCACTGCCAATAAACCTTCATTTCTTCCTCACACCATCTCCTACATGTCACCCTCGACTCGGATGCCCAACTCGTCGTTTCCCATGTGGGTTCCACCGGACGGCTTGGCCTAGCCTGGCACTTGATGTCCCCAAACAGTCTTCTCAGTGTATGTCCAATTCAATTCATCTCCACTTCCCTCTTCTTCTTCTGCATATTTGTTGGGCGATAGGTTGTTGGTTGGTTCGTTGCCAGCCAGCCAACCAGAGTGAGTCCATCCTTGCTTATTCTTATTACTCTGGCCATCCATCTGATCTTCAGTGTCACTATCGATTGGGCGTATGCGGTAGCCGTTGATGATGTATGTCTGTAGTTTGCTAGAAATGCTTTTCATGAGGTGTCAAGTTTCTGAAGCATCACACAGAAGCAGTGACTCACTTGACTGACATTAGTGTTGAAAATCCGGATCCTGTTCTTTGAGCTGAATGCAGTAGTAGATCTCCACACTGATTTTAGACTAATGAAGTAAGGCATGTCTTGCTGTCTTTCCGATCCCGGCTCTTACATCCTCATCCATCCCACCCCCTGTAGTTGAAACGATGCTGCTTAGGTAGGTGAAAGAGACAAAATCCTTTAGGCTTCTCCCGTCGATGGTGCTTGTTGTTATTGTTGGTTGGGTATCTTCATCACTTCTGTCTCCTCTACGTTCACCTGTGGGGAAGTGCGGTCTTCGCTACCTCACCTCTTCTGCCAACTTGTTAGTTTTCGCCTGTACATCATCGAGTTTGTCCGGCATAAGAAATTAGACATAAATCATCATCGGCGAAATTCAAATCTTCTAGGCTCCTTTCATCGGTCCAGCGTATGCCCGTCTTCTCACTCCTCACAGTTTGTTGCATGATCCAGTCGACCACAATCAGGAAGATCAATGGGGACAGTAGACAACCTTATCTTACTCATGTCTTCACTTCAAAGGCATCACTGAGCTTTCCATCGTGAATCACTTGGCATGTGGCTGTTGAATGAAGTTGATGAAGGTTTATGGCACTAAAACTGTAGTGTAGTGTTGAAGAAGCAGCTGCCAAAGTACTTCTCAGTCGACGCTGTTGAAGGCCTTTTCAAAATCAACGAAGTTGAAGTAGAGTTAACTTCCATTCTATGTGCAGTCCTTTGATGTTGTGTACCGTTGCAACCTGAACCGCAAATGATTTGTTCTTCCTAAAGCCAACTAGCCTGTTACAGTCGTATTTTGAATCCAGCGCATCCTTTAGTCTCTCTAGGATGACGTGGCTTAATATTTGGCTTGAGGCAGACAAGGGTGGAGCATGATTCCGCGCCTAATCTTGCAAAGACTTTAATCTTTGGAAGTTTGCCAAGGTAACTCTTCTTCCAATCAGTGGGCAAGTACCTTCCTTTCATTCCAAACCTTCTAAAGTAGTGGTGTAAGCATATCCGCTGCTGTTGTGTCTGCATCTGTTTTCAGTGCTTCCAGTGGAATTCTATCCGGTTCTGCTCCTTTTGCGGATTTCACCAACTTTGTGGCGTTCAGGACTCCACTTCTGCTTTTGTTGGAGTGCTTGTGTTCACTGGTAATTCTGCAGTTGCTGAACAAGTTTCAGGTGGTGGTCGATTCAAGAGCTTTTTGAAGTGGTCAGCCCATCGTTTCCTTTGTTTCTCTATCTTTGGTAACTAGGTTACCTGTACTGTCTTTCCTTGGTTTCATCTACGTTGATTTCTTACATCTCAGATAGTAACCTGGTTATTTGATATTATGTTGTCAGGTCTTTCCTACCTGCAGTCTGTTCTACTCCACTTGACAGTGTGTCGTAGAAGTGTCTTTTGTCTTTCCGTGCACTTCTCTTCACTTCTTTGTCCAGTCTAGTGCTGTATATGTCTTATTCACTTCCCCTTTTCGTTGTTCATCCCTGCACTGCACTGCACTGGTTCATCCTCTGCTTCATCATCATCCTCTCCCTCCTCTATGAGCTTCCATGAGTCCGTTGAGATACATTCATTGTCTTGCCTCTTCTTCTTCCTTCTTAACATGGTTATACTGGTTTCCTTCCACATCTCTCTCAAAGAGTTCCAGTGTTCTTCAACAGGGGTTTCACTAGGCATTTTGTATAATGTCTCTCATTTTGTCCTGATGGCTGACATTAGAATGTCCTTTGTTGTTTTGTCCTCCAATTAGTTTCTGTTCTGGGTGTTCAACTCGAACTGTGTTCGTTCATCACCAACTTCTTTGAATCCTTTCAACTTCATTTTGAAGGTTGGTTCCTTTCACCAGACAGTGAGTGATGTGAACCTACATCTGATCCCCTTCTTCATCTAATTTTGTGCCGAGTAGGCTGGCTGCATCTCCACTTTCTTCACATTGGGGTGAAATCAATCTGAATTTTAATGTGTAGTGTGTCTGGTGAAATCAAGTCCATGTCGCTGTCTTGTGAATATCCTTGTGTGTGTTTGTACACACTGCCTCCAATCACCAAGTCATTGAAGGCGCACAGGTGTGCAAACAGTTCTCCTTTCTCGTTCATTTCACCGAGTGCTTCTCGACCCATGATCAGTTCTCTTTCTGTGTTGTCCACTCCCAGTTTGGCAATCATGTCACCCACCCATTAGAATTTTGATGTCGTCAACCTGGCTGTAGTCTTGTCCAGTACTGATTTCAGTTGTCTGTAGAATTCCTCCTTCTTCTCTTGGTCCGCGTCTGCATTATTTGTAGGTGCATAGCGTAACAATGTATGATTGTATTTCCTTCCTTTTGGGTAGAATCTTGCTGTTATGCTCCTGATCCTGCAGAAGGAGATTGGTTCCCACTGCATGAGAGAGAGCCTTCGATGCTGTTGGGGACATCATGATAGCCACTCCAAAACTCGGTGTTCTCACGGTTGTCGTCTGCGTGACAATATCGTAGTAGATTGTTGACTCTTCAGTTGACAGTTGGGAGAGTTCATTTCCATTCCATCTGCAGTTTCGTCGCAGATTCCTAGCACTTCCATGCCATAGCTTCTCATCTCTTTTGCAACCTTGGTAGCCTTGCTAGCCAGGTTCAAACGTTGTGTGGACATTCTATGTCTTCATGCTTACTTTTGCTTTCGTCGAGAGAGAGAAGATACATCGGCCAGTTGGTTTCCCGAAGGCAGGCTTTCACCAAATGGTGTCATTTCGCCTCTCCGATTCCAGCGAGGAATAATTTTGTTGTTATTTTTTATGTTTACTTTGTGCTTTGAAGTTTGTTTAGTGATTAGATTGGTTTTACGGGGTAATGCTGCTAGCCCTATCCCCAACTTTCCCTCTTTATCCGGGCTTATGACCGGCTAGTAACTAGTGGACTAGTTAACTAAGTGAGGTTGAATGATGGAAACACAGATACCAATTCCACTGCTGCTCACTGATTGCTACATAGAGTTTAACAGTCACAACTCAATATGCTTGTGGATAATTGTTGAGTGTTTTAGGGGAAAAATGGTGTGTTTAGTTTCTCTATATGGAATTAAAGCACGCCTAGTTAACCAGTCACAATTGCAGTTACATACATGTCATATTTCTCGACCTTAAGGCGGCATTTGACTCTGTTGACCATGAGGTTTTGTGGCAGTGTCTGGCAATGAAGGAAGTACCGAGCAAGTATAAAACGCTAATGAAACCTTTTAACTCAAAATCACGCGGCCATATCAGGTCTTAGGAAGAACTGTTTTCAGAATTAACGACAACTAGTGATGTCCGCCAGGGATGTCCACTGTCCCTGTTTCTATTCAACTTCGTTACAGACGTACTGATAGATATAATTACAGGTAGGTCTTACCTCACAGGGATTTACCCACTCCCTGGTGGTCATTTAATTGACTTGGAGCATACAGACAATATTGTCCTGTTAGATTGGGTGACGACAATAATAAAATCTAGCGTCTTCTGATCGCACTGAGCATAAATTTGAGGGTTTGGAATGCACGTTTGGTATCTGTCAATTATAAAATGATGGTCCAGAATTAGTCTGCTGCAACCACTTTCACTTTAATGATAGGAGGTGAAGTGGTGGAATGTATCGATCACTTCACTTACTTGGGGAGTTGCATCAACCCGAATGAGATGGTTGCTGACGAAATCTCAGCTCGGATACAGAAGGTCCGTTTGTCATTTACTAACTTGCTTCAACTGTGGCGCTGGCGAGTTATCCTATATCTATCAAAGTACGAGTATACTGCGCTGCAGTCCGTCTTGCCATGTTATGCGGCCGTGAGACATGGTCTTTGAAAGTAGAAGATATGAAGGGTTTGAATCACAGATGCCTTCGTAGCATTGTTCCTGTTTCCTGGAATTACCGTATGAATAATGTTGAGGTGAAGCAAACGGCACTTGGCAAGAAATGCGAGTCAACTGATGGGGTTGTGAACCCTGCTCGATTGAGTTGGCTTGGGTATTCACAGCGCATCTCAAGCCACCGTCTATCTTGGTGTGCAATGCTACGGAAAGTTGGATTAGGTTAGAAGAGGATTCAAGGTGGTCAGACCAAGACCTAGCAACAGTCGATGAAGTCTCTTACTGTTGGTCTAAGACGCGTGAGGAGTTGCAAACTGCTTGGTCGGGATCTTCGAGACAAAATAAATCAGTGGTTGGGGATTGACTATTGGTGATATGACTGAAAATCGGTCACAATAGCCCAGATCTATTCACTTCCTGACGTGTTCTAAAGCTTGAATATTCACACTAACCTTTATCTTCAAATTGTTTATTCTGTTACACTATTTTGTCTACTTTTTCTATCTACCAGCTTTTTGTGTACTACTGTGAAGTGTGGCAACTTGAGTTGATGCACCTGTATGTGAGGATGTTCTCTGCAAATAAATGTAACTGATTGTACTCCATAAACTTATTTAGTCTCTACAAAATGCCCTATTATCTCGATACAAAATGGTAATAACCAAAGAATACAGAAATCATTAACTTAGATGAACAAGTTGTAAACCTACCTTATTTTCTAATTCTGACTTTTCAATTTGAAAGCGTTCCTTTAATCTTGCTATGCTGGAACGTAACATTTTGCTGGCTTTCTGAGCTTCTTCAGTTTCTTCATTTCTTAAACAGATAAGTTTATTCATTTGATATTCAGCTTCTTCAATACGTTTGAAAAGTGTATTTTTCAACTCTTGAAGATAGAATTCCCGTGATTCCAGCTCATGTAACAACATTTGACAATATGACTCAGCACTAAGTTCATCAAGATGGATTACAGTAAATAAAAGTTGATTAGGGTAGTAGTCTTTTTTAACAAATAAACGTAGTCAACATGAAGTCAATCTTTCAGTCTAACATGAGAACCATAATTTAAACAAACTTCATTCAAATGCTACGATTCACTAGCCTACCGTATGTTTACACTAGTTGAGAGAAGTGTGGCTGTATATGACACTCTCAATAACTCCACCTTTTTCAACTGATATTTAAAATCTCTGGTTGCTTCTACCACATTTTCAGAGAAACAAACTAACATATAAGACAGCTTTGAACTAACAAACAGGGTGAATCCCCTGAAGTAAATCAGATATAAAACATGTTTGAATGAGAAGGCTTCAGGTGTTTGATTACCGTTGCCTTCGTAGCATAAACCGTATTCCATGGTGTCACCATGTGAGTATCGCAAAAGTGAGGGCTAGAGTTTTAGGGAGGAGAGGTAAGTCAGCTGACGCGGTTGTGAACCTTCATCGACTGAGATAGTTGCGATACGTGTTACGTATGCATAGTCGCCATCTACCTCGTCACACAATGTTGGCTGAAGTAGGTTTGGACTAGAAAAAGGCCCAAGGCGGCAAGACTAAAACATGGCATCATTGTATGAAGTCTTTGATTGTTGGTTCGAACCATGTCAGGCGATGCAAAATAGCTAGTTGGTGTCCGTGAGACAAGAGAAACCAGTGGTTGGAGATTGACTCTAGGTGATATGGCTGAGAACCGATGTCAGTGGCGCAAATGTATACACACATTATCCTCATCTTAACGACACTATACCGAATCTCACCATTTTTTCATTCTTCCTTCCTCTTCTTTCGTACTTTATATTTCTTTTGACGGGTGAGACTAAAAGTTACCCCTAGGTGTTATCATGCTCATTACGGATTGTAGCGTTCTTTGAGCAAATTCGTGTACGATGTATGCTTATTTTTGAAAACTGTTTCTATAGTTTCTAAAACGCCTTGCCATGGAATCATACTTTATATCGTTTATTCATGTGCAAGGTATTGGTTCAGATTCCACACCCTAGATGGTACGTAAACACTTTCATTCATGAAGAATGATGCTCACAAATCAAACTAAGCTAATTGAGTCTTCAGATTGTAGTAAAAAAGGATTTACGATTGCAGTTTTCACTTCAAAAATATGCTTACAAAGCACAGAAAATACATATTTTCATACAGAACACCTGGAGATAACTTCTAGCCTCACCCCTCGGACCGTTACGCAGTAATGTCTGGTCCTATGTTGATTTGGATGGATGGATATAAAGCATGTTGTCAATAGTAACTGATTACTTCTTTTCAGCGGTATAATCACTTATACTTTAGAACTCAAAGATTTCACGATTACCGAGACTGAAAGTAGATCACAGAGTGAGAATACAACTAGCTATCAAAATAAGCAATGGGGACCACTAAACAAATATAACCTGAAAAGGTCTTATTCATTAGGTGGGGGTTAAGATTATTATTTGACTGCCTATATCTATTTCTTTGGAAGGCGTTTAGTACTACGAATCAAACTCTAGCAGCAGGCATTCATTCACCAGACAATGAGTCACATCTATTTTATGAAGTCTGATTACATTATATGGCTACACAAACGTTGTAAGAAGTTGGGTGACCCTCTGAATGAAGCTTAACTGCTCAGACCAATGAGCCATAACTCAAAAAACAATGACAGAATGGTTAGTGAATCTACGGTCAAATAAATATCTCATTTACCACAATCTATTTGAAAAAAAGTCGTTTAATAAATACTTTTTGACACTTCGAAATCTCGAAAATTATTCACAAGTTACTTCAAAAACAAGAAACTAGTTGAAATTTGTTTAACAATTTGCTGAAAAAGATATCACATTTAGGTGAGCTTTTAAACTTAGACCAACAACATTTACAGACTACAACACGTATATACACTAATTACAAACTATTATTATAAAACATGACACCTTATTTCCTTTAAGTTGCTGTGATTACAGATTTGTTTGCTGATGATGAAAAATATTACATAACTGCAAGCATAATTAAAAGATATCCTCTATGTAAGGATAGAAGTATTTTGCTGAGAAAACTTGTAAACACATTCCTAATTATCAAGAGGGGGAAGGGAAGGAATATGCTGGAAGTATCACAGTATCATGATGGATGTATGATTACATTTCGTTGAGCAATTCACATTCTGAAGTTGAATAACAAAGCCGCTGAAGTATTTGGAAGGATATTTAAAAAAGTCAAATAATTTTATTGGTTATCACAAGGTGAAACACTCAGTGAGTTTTAATCTGAGAGTTATATTAGGAAAAATCTGGAAATAACTGATCTAGATGAGTCATTAAGATCTTAGATAACTTTTGAAACTTGAAACACTCTTCGACAGCTTGTGAATGGCTTCAATAGGAATTACCATTGATTTCTTCTGAAAGTTCTCTCTGAACCTAAATGAGAAACGTCAGATCAAACTAAACCAGCAACTATGTGGAAGAAAACTGTGCCAAATTTGCTAAACAAAGCCTGTTCATTACTTTCCATTTAAGACAGGGCCACAATACCACATTCATATATAGATATGAGAATTTTTGACAATTATCCTAGACCATTGAATTTCAAATCATCAACCACAACAATGCTAATGAATAAATTCAAACAATACAGAATTCTCTCTGAACAGAACTACACCAATGCCACTGTAGTATCTTTAATACAGTACATTCATAACATTAATTAGGGTAGTCATTTGATCTACATTTTACAGGCATGGACACAACTAACATGCAGAAAACCTTTAGTGAGATCGAAAAGACAGAAAAACATGTGTAGAGCATATTCATCGAAGTAACTTTCATTAAGTATATGCTTTCTACAACTTCGCTGTATGCACAAAGCTATAAACATTTAAATCAGTCAAAGGATCAGCTATGTACTATTCATACTCCATTAAGTGTGGATAAATAAGAAAGTAAAAACACCTAGAGAAACTAAGTAGATTGTATACGTTCTAATCACCTTGGTAAAGAACAATCTTCTTTTTATTTCGCATTTATTGATAAATAAAACTTTCGAAATAAAGGAACTTACCACCTTACCAGTCAGATAGTGAATTGTTTGGACCACACTTAGTTTTTAATGTTACAACAACACAAATAACTTTGATATACTAACCCCAACTCTTCATATTCAAATAGCAGTTAACTAAATTCTTGAAACCTACTCACTGTTAAGTTTTCTTTGTATTATTTCACTCTCTTCTCTCCAGTCTTTTCAACCTGGCTTCACCACTGCCAATAAACCTCCATTTCTTCCTCACACCATCTCCTACATGTCACCCTCGATTCGAGCACCCAACTCATCCTTTACCATGAGGGTTCCACCAGACGGCTTGGCCTAGCCTGGCGCGTGATGTCCCCAAACGGTCTTCTCAGTGTATGTCCAATCCACTCCAATTCAATTCATCTCCACTTCCCTCTTCTTCTTCTGCATATTTGTTGGGCGATAGGTTGTTGGTTGGTTCGTTGCCAACCAGTCAGCCAGAGTAAGTCCATCCTTGCTTATTCTTATTACTCTGGCCATCCATCTGATCTTCAGTGTCAGTATCGATTGAGCATAGGTGGCAGCTGTTGATGTGACGAATGTCTGTAGTTTGATAAAAATGCTCTTCATAACCGCCAAGTCTCTGAACCATCACATAGAAACACTGACTTGACTGAAACTAGTGTTGAAAATCAGGATCTTATTCACACTTTATGCTGAGTGCAATAGATTTCTATACCGATTGGTTTCAGATTAATGAAGGGAGGGCTGTCTTGCTGCCTTTCCAATCCTGGCTTTGATTTCCTCATCTGTGCCTGTGCCGCCTGTAGTTGAAACAGTGCTGCCTAAGTAGATGAAAGAGACAACTTTCTTTACATTCCTCCCGCTGTGCAGTTAAACTGTCATAATCACACCAAGCGCATCCAGGAAGGTTTATGGTTTTTGAGAAGACTGGGTAGACACACGGTCAGAAGTAAAGGAAAAGGATAGTGACAACTGAGTATTACAAATTAACAGTTCAAAATGAAGGATGAACGTGACTATAGGAAAGTGCATATTAAGAAGGTAAGATAACAAAGTTAAGTGATACATCCTTGTATTAGATATTTAACTATACAGGACTGGACTCTTGAACAACAACCTTAGACCTCATCCTTGGTCCCTCGAAAACAGAAAAAAAGTGACAAAAACGATAAGGACTTATTGTCCAGTCCAAACCGAGAAGATCTAAAGGTGGCCGATCTGTCACGTATGGTATTCCATTACACGTCTCATTGCCATGCACAGCAGTATAATGAACTTCACCAATAATGTGTATCTGACCACTTGATGCACTGTGAGTGGTCTGAGTAGTTGGGTGAATTTTCGCCGACATGTTTTTCTGATGTGTTATGTCGACAGCTATATCAAACTGTAAACGAACCTACTATCCGTTTATTTTTATGGATGTATATTTTCTTCACGACACTGATCCATTTCCTTGTAGTGCTATAACTGAATATGACTTGAAGTTTTTATCCTGATGTCTTTTTGAGTACACCTGTGGCTGATTTAGCCGTTTGACTTTGTAAGAGTCCCCTGTATAACCTCACCAAGAACACTTCTTGCATCGGTGACTCTCAAACAGACAAAGATCCAACCACTACAATGCCAACATGCTGAAGATGGTTTCGACCTACTGCCACTACTTTTTGTAGTGCCAGTAACTATCCACCCTTCCTGACTGACTTCGTTAATATTCGCTGAATGATTTACGTTTTCAATTATTGGTGAGTCATGCCTTAAGCTCATGATGTCTGGTACTCATTTGTGATTTCCTGGAGTGTTACTTTCAGCCACCGTTCCATTTTAGACAAAACAGGAGCACACATGTCAGCATCTGTAGGACATCTTAGAATACAGACGAAAACAAGACACTTAAATTGGTCTTCTGCCACCCATAAAAGTTTAAAACGCTCACACTCTTTATTGACAGGCATGCTTGACCTAGTCATTGCTTGAATCTTTTTTAGTGTTCAAACATTGTTATTTAGTCCAAAAAAGGGATTATTGCCCTCCAGAAGTGTGACGGAATTCTGAATATTTCATCAAAACAAATATCTTCAGAATCCCATGGCAGTATAAAATTTGTGCAACGGTCATGTTCTACAATGCTCAATTTCCTGAAAATAATGCGTACTTTTACTGCATCACCAAGCGATTTATGGTCAACAAGAAACGGGTCTTCATACCTTTTGAACCGTGATTCAAATGTAATTTCTACAAGTAGATCAAAAATCAAAATCGTGTATTTGAAAAATGAGAGAATCCATATAAGATAATCCAAGTTACACTGATGTTGATACCGGTCGTATTTCACCCAGCTTTTCAGTAAGTGCCTCAGCGGTTCTCATGGTTGTTTGTTCACCTCTTTTATCTTGTCGCTCCATCAGTATTTGGATTTGACTGGAAGAAATCCTTGCCATAATTCTAGTCGCCAGATATATGTCTATATTTAATACAAGGATACATCATTAAGTAAACCAGGTACATAAATCAGCTGACCAAAGTAATTCAGATGGCTCCACAAATATTGCAGTTGTCAAAACCAACACATTAAGTAAAAGCACAATTATAAAAGTGAGAGAAGGATGTAAGAATGACAGTGGAGACTCAAAGAAGGATCCCTGAGCCTCAGTAACATGAAGAGTCAAGTTTATGTACAACACTAATATCATCCGTTAGCTATCTAAAGAGTAAAAAGATTCGGTAAAAATAGTCAAGATCATATCACATGGAACTAACGCCTAGTTAAAGCAAGATCTGTAAAGAAAATCAACTGCCTACTTTAAAAACAGTACCCATGCATGCAGGTATACAAAACTTTAGAATGCATGAACAGATAAGTAACAATGGATAGTGAAAACTGACATTTCATTTTTATAAAGGCATTTCATCCTGCTACGCGTATTGTACTAACTTATGGTCAAAGTAAACCATCCCCGGATACAACTAACCTTCAAACTAATTCCAAGATACTTCCAATTTGATATGTCACCTAATACTCCCAGATGTTATTTTCATCTTCGAAATAAATGAAGTAAACCAGTGAGGAGGTTCATTAGGCACCAGTTCATGCTATTGAGATCGGTAATAATGACTAAATACTGAGATCATGAGTCATAAAACCAAATCCAAAAAAGGGAACAAAGCAAACCAACACACAAGCCGACAGTGAGCCTTGAGCCTCTGAGCGGTAGTAGAATTCTGCGATTTATTAAGCATTTATATGCCAAGGTTCTTCTCTCCATCAACCAGATGGGAAATAGGGAAAAGCACATGAACGAACTAAAATGTGTAGAACTGATCACGAAAAAATAGGAAGAAGACGACGAATATCACCAAACTCAAAAGGACGGGAGTCAATGCATTAAAGCAGGTCCCGTTCGCTTAAGCAGTTCAAAAATGCATCACCTTTGAATTTTCCGATTTGAAGCCCCAGTTTTTATCAGGTGTCCAAGACTTCACAGTTTTCAGACTGCAGTCTCGGCGAATCATTTTAGACCCTCAAGAAGTTCCTTAGTCCACCTGATGTTTGCCACATTTTGATTTCATCAGTGAATAAAGGAAAGTGACTAGAAACCCTCTCACGTAAGTCGCTTATGGATAATAAGAGCTGAAATTCCATGTGACAGGATGTAACTCATATACTCTGCACTGTCGGCTGAGTTTCTCAGCGACATGAGTATATTTAAACATATAACGATGTGCATAGATAAACTTACGCATAACGACGCTCTTTTTCTGATTTCATCGCTGATGAGGTGGTATTAACTCCAAAATGTTTAGAATCATGAAGCTGAGTTGAAAATATCCCTTTATCAGGAATATTCCTGAAGATGTATTCTGCATCTCGAAAACCGCAACTCATGATGACCTCAGGTTTATCCTTACAGACTCGTGAGCGTGTGTGACAAGTAACACGGAGAACTTGTTTACACTTTTGAATGAGATCGCAAAAGGCTATTACTACCAAATGGTTTTAACAAATGTAAAGGTCATACACTCAGTTGCAGTCCAAGTTTGAGGTTTGAGGCCAAAGGTCATGCACATATGTTACTCCCTTCCCAACAGATCTCGATGCTTTTCTAACCATCTCTTGAATGAATCGATGAAAGAAAAAACGTCAATTCTCCCAACAGGCAGTCTCAGCAACTGACCAAAAAGTGAAAGTGCTGTCACTCTCCGGTCACTCAGTTTAAACTTATCGATTGTACACCCCCCTTATATCCCCTAAGTGCTTCATTCTTGTTGGTACCAGAAGAGTACATATACATGTATATCACGTCCAGGATTGTTATGTTAAATCCTGAACATCAAAACAGGCTGCCCTTTAGTCGGCGATAGAACTTACTGCTAGTAAAGCCCGTGAGTTTTGATCGACCCGAAAATGTGTTAGGAAAAGGTTTCACTGATGAATGTGACGAGTGTTACGTACATAACTAATGCAATCCTAAAGCCACATGCTGCAAACAAACAGTAGCGTTATTTGGTTTCGAAACAGTATATCCGCGTGGCCACCATTCCACCATGTATTACGAGTACTGAGTGGTGGGTCAAATCATTGCCGTGCTTGGTGCCGCTCTTATGCCTCATATGTTTAGCTCCACATTGAGGAAGCCAATATACTGGTCGCTTCTATTAGCAGATCAGCAAATAATCTTCACGTGTTGGAAGAGTGTGTAGATCAAGGTGGTAATCAAGTTCTGCTTGGATTCTCATGTAATCGCTGTGGGAAATTCAACGATGAGCTTATTTAGTGTGTACAAGGAGAAAATTAGGGTCCACGAGTGTGTAATTTTTTGTAGTCCACCATTTACCAACTTCCAAAAAGAGGATTTGGAGTCGAGCATCACTGTCCGCCGTTTACAAACAAGGAAGTTCATTACTCTTTAGGGCTGAAGGTCCATGATTTCGAAATCTCTTGGTTTGATTAGAAGTGCGGAATGGCATAGTTTGGTATGTCCATTACTAACATCCGTCAGGACGAAATCTCTCATCTTCTACCATCAGACTGTAGTCAGCGTTATCCGATTGTCAGAAGACTCCAAACGTGAGGACCTTCGGTTGAGGTATTTACACTTGCTGAATGACAGCTACTTGGTCTGCATTTCAGTCAGTTATTTCAATGTTTTCTGCACTTCTCATAGGGTAAAGCTTTCGTACTGTCTATGTAACATTCTCTCCCCTTACCCAAGAATATACAAATGCCCGGTTTTAACATTTGTGTGAAAGGAAGCCGTAGCTCTTATCATCCATGGGACTGCTGGAAAACCTATGCGGTTTTTCAATTCAGGCAAGGACAACTGGTTGGGGTTATCTCGGAGTCATTTTCTGACCCCTAGAGGACCAACGTACGACTTCAGCTGAAGCTTTGCAAAACCCCCGCACCATCTCACCTCCTGGGGTAAGTCCAGAACAAAGCTCAAAAAAGAGGGCTGTAAGGATACAGTGAAAATTGCGCTCATAGACCCAAAGTTCTAGGCGTTCATGTACCTAGCTGCCGTGGGAGACGGCTTGACTTGTTTACAGCCTACAAGACACCCAGAAATACAGGCCATATGAACCGATCTGTGTCATCTAAAGGCCACTAGCTTTTCTCTTGGAGACCTGGGCAAAATCATTGATCCAAGGTCAAAAACTCGTGCTTGACCACGACTTCTCTCTGTCTCAGTCCTCGGTCACCTTGATACATTACTATTTGATCCTGTGATATGCCCTACTTTTGTTCAGGTTAACTGCTAAGGAAAAGGATATCCGGCCTTCAGTACCTCTTTTACGAAGTTACAAAGACCAATGACTTCTTGTAGTCTTTTTATATTTATTGAGGAATACCTTCATGTCTTTGATGGAATCCCCTTCGAGGAATCTACACTGTCACCTGCTTTGCCCTTGTTAGGCGTGACGAATGTTGAATATTGGATAAATATTTGGGGAGTGGTATGACTGGTCATGGGTTTGTGGTGCCGATGGGGCCCCCGAATATGGTGCTGGCAAACAGTAGTTTTGACTGGCTTCTAAAGAAAGATAGGTAGATTTGGGAGGTAGCTGAAGCGAGCAAAGGAGGAACAGGCAAAAGACAGAAGGGAATAAGTAAAAAATGGAAAATTTTAGATGGGCAAGGAATTTGCATAACTAGTGCGGGGTGAAAAACAGAACGATACAAGGGACAGAGCAAGGAAAATGACAGAAGGGGTGGTGGAAACAACAGCGGTAATGAAATCAGTAATGAGATGAAACTGTGATGCGTATCGGTTGGCCGTCATTCGTAAAGCCGGCGACAGGTACCGCGTTCCATTTCGTAGTTCTACCTCCAGAACATAGTCGTATGTCCCCCACCATCACAGTAGTGTAGGGGTGCTGGTTGTGTTGCTACTATTTAATGCTTGGTCAGCCCTCCTGACTCTATCTGCTCTCGTTTAATTGGTACCTTATCAAGCGTGTAGGTGCCGAATGGGGAACACAAATCAAATGGACTGGTATTCAGTCTTTGGCTGAACCAGGGGCTCTCTGGATATGCGTGTTAACCAGCACAAATAGAGCGCAAAATGGATTCAAAGCGCACTGGGACGCAGGCTGGTTAAAACAAAACTTGAAACACCTCAAGCAACAGGAGACGATCCAGAGGCTTATTCGGTTAATTCAATTTAACCTATTTATCAGAGACCCAGTTGCGTTTTGGCGCCCGGAAGATGTACCATAGTAGCATGGCCACTTTCAAGACAGCGATTGATTTCTCCATGCATGAAAAGGTAATACAAGACACCGCCTTCTCATACCACTCATGCCTTATTCTGCATCCAGTGCCACTGAGAAAAGGCAGATATGGAGCTTCTATTCTAACTGCTTGGGAATTATCGACCTTTCTGCATCACATGTTCCAGACGGTGACCTTGCCCCGAACAAAGCTGTTTCTAAATTCAGTTTAATGTGTACATGCTGCAACTCCCACACACCGTGCAATATCGTTGGCTACAGGTACAGCAGAGATACTACATACATCACTCTGAATAGATCTCAACAGCTGACTTTCAGAACTTCACATTTTACCATGATAGGCTGCTGCGTTGACACCTGTGGGAATAGCGTCTACATTTCCTGGGGTGCCGGCTGAAGTCGTTAGGTTAACTGAGTCTTCACGGCTTCTTCCACTGGACAGACAAATCGGTTGGAACAGGTCAAGGCATCATTGTCTGCCCAAAAGACGTTTAGTTTTAGAGACATTCCCACGGAAACTGGCCGATGAAAATTGTTGTGACAGTGATCAAAATGCTGGAGAAAGACGCTGCTTCTGTTACTGCTATGAAGAATCAAAAGGAGGCACACAACAACGGACAGGTTGGGCTCAAAGGCAGTGGTGTGAGCCGACAATCAAGCAGCTCACGCACATACACTACTTTAACTCCATGGTATACCACGGCATGAAGGGGTAAACAACCGCAAGCCCTCTAACAAAAAGGAGTATCACGACAGAGCTCAATGAAATGCAGACCAAGTAGCTGTCATTCAGCAAGTGTAAATACCTCAACCGAAGGTCCTCACGTTTGGAGTCTTCTGACAATCGGATAACGCTGACTACAGTCTGATGGTAGAAGATGAGAGATTTCGTCCTGACGGATGTTAGTAATGGACATACCAAACTATGCCATTCCGCACTTCTAATCAAACCAAGAGATTTCGAAATCATGAACCTTCAGCCCTAAAGAGTAATGAACTTCCTTGTTTGTAAACGGCGGACAGTGATGCTCGACTCCAAATCCTCTTTTTGGAAGTTGGTAAATGGTGGACTACAAAAAATTACACACTCGTGGACCCTAATTTTCTCCTTGTACACACTAAATAAGCTCATCGTTGAATTTCCCACAGCGATTACATGAGAATCCAAGCAGAACTTGATTACCACCTTGATCTACACACTCTTCCAACACGTGAAGATTATTTGCTGATCTGCTAATAGAAGCGACCAGTATATTGGCTTCCTCAATGTGGAGCTAAACATATGAGGCATAAGAGCGGCACCAAGCACGGCAATGATTTGACCCACCACTCAGTACTCGTAATACATGGTGGAATGGTGGCCACGCGGATATACTGTTTCGAAACCAAATAACGCTACTGTTTGTTTGCAGCATGTGGCTTTAGGATTGCATTAGTTATGTACGTAACACTCGTCACATTCATCAGTGAAACCTTTTCCTAACACATTTTCGGGTCGATCAAAACTCACGGGCTTTACTAGCAGTAAGTTCTATCGCCGACTAAAGGGCAGCCTGTTTTGATGTTCAGGATTTAACATAACAATCCTGGACGTGATATACATGTATATGTACTCTTCTGGTACCAACAAGAATGAAGCACTTAGGGGATATAAGGGGGGTGTACAATCGATAAGTTTAAACTGAGTGACCGGAGAGTGACAGCACTTTCACTTTTTGGTCAGTTGCTGAGACTGCCTGTTGGGAGAATTGACGTTTTTTCTTTCATCGATTCATTCAAGAGATGGTTAGAAAAGCATCGAGATCTGTTGGGAAGGGAGTAACATATGTGCATGACCTTTGGCCTCAAACCTCAAACTTGGACTGCAACTGAGTGTATGACCTTTACATTTGTTAAAACCATTTGGTAGTAATAGCCTTTTGCGATCTCATTCAAAAGTGTAAACAAGTTCTCCGTGTTACTTGTCACACACGCTCACGAGTCTGTAAGGATAAACCTGAGGTCATCATGAGTTGCGGTTTTCGAGATGCAGAATACATCTTCAGGAATATTCCTGATAAAGGGATATTTTCAACTCAGCTTCATGATTCTAAACATTTTGGAGTTAATACCACCTCATCAGCGATGAAATCAGAAAAAGAGCGTCGTTATGCGTAAGTTTATCTATGCACATCGTTATATGTTTAAATATACTCATGTCGCTGAGAAACTCAGCCGACAGTGCAGAGTATATGAGTTACATCCTGTCACATGGAATTTCAGCTCTTATTATCCATAAGCGACTTACGTGAGAGGGTTTCTAGTCACTTTCCTTTATTCACTGATGAAATCAAAATGTGGCAAACATCAGGTGGACTAAGGAACTTCTTGAGGGTCTAAAATGATTCGCCGAGACTGCAGTCTGAAAACTGTGAAGTCTTGGACACCTGATAAAAACTGGGGCTTCAAATCGGAAAATTCAAAGGTGATGCATTTTTGAACTGCTT